CCCTAACCCTAACCCTAACCCTAACCCTAACCCTAACCCTAACCCTAACCCTAACCCTAACCCTAACCCTAACCCTAACCCTAACCCTAACCCTAACCCTAACCCTAACCCTAACCCTAACCCTAACCCTAACCCTAACCCTAACCCTAACCCTAACCCTAACCCTAACCCTAATGAGTTTCACCACTCATAATGGGTTTCGCCAGAATCGTGAAACCCATTGTCGACTTCACTCGTCAGTCACTAGATTGCTGATCAACTTAGTGATCTGCACAGCCACACGGTTTGAAACCCACGTGAGTTTCAGGGATTATATATATAGGCGGCCGGTGAGCATACAAGCATATACTGTGGGATGGTCACATACAGGAATGTGCACCCTTGTCTGTTTCGCCCCTCCGCCCGCAGAACTACCTACAAGGCGACGCGGGCGCCCGACCGACATGGGTGAGGCAGGATCTTGAGTGAGCGCGGCAGGCACTGGGCACGGAGGGGAGTTTCCCTCGCTGTCCAGTTCTGGTTCCGTGCGCTGTAACAAGTTAGCAGACAATGAGAAGCCATCTATCATGACGCACTACGGCGCTGGTTGACCGTTCGCGCGGGCGGTACAGGTCCATTCCATCGTCCGACGGCTAGATACATGACAGACAGCTGCGGCAAGTGAGCCACAACGACTTGGGACATGCGTACCTTCATTGTGGCCTCCACCTCAGCACTATCAGCGTCTACACCGGGCGGTTCCTGCGTGCGTAGTCAGCATCCAAAAGCAACAGAAACGACGGACTAATGCACGCACCCCATCCTGGTAATCCTCACGGTCGCTGCTCTCGTCATCTGCTTCCTGTCCACCCGCGGCCGCCTTCTCATCCTCCTCTCCATCAGCAGCCTCCTCATCATCATCGGCCTCCTCATCTCCACCCGCATCCTGATCTACACTTCCTTCATCCGTATCGCTGTCGACGTAGGCCTCATTTGCGCGATTGACTTGTAGCGGCTCCTCGTCGCTGCCGTCCACCTCCATTCCGGCCGCATCGGTGGTGCTATCCTCCAAGATCGCTTCCGCGCGCCGCCAAGACCCGTGCTGATTATATGTCAGATAGAATACATGTAGCCACCTATATATCCGCACCAATGAATCCCCCGGCTCGCCCATCTGCACGTCACCCGCATCGATCACGTTCTAGTGAGATAGTTAGTGTGTGACGCTCGAGATGATCCCATTACACACCTTGCCATCGAATCCGTCGGCGACCACACCCCAAAAACCTGGAGGATACTGGCCTTCGGCGGCCGCCTCAAGCGAGCCGGACTTGGAAGATGATGGTCAGTGAGTATGTCGATGCGTGTGAGTAAGACATACCCATCCATCCGACTTTGACTGGCTTGGCTGCTGCGCGAGCTCTCGGCCTTGAAAAAGCTCCTTTATCTTGCCCTTATTCAGTGCGAGCGCCGGAGGGAGCCCGGGAGGTGCGGGAAGCTACAAGGACGGTTCAGCAATGAGTTGCAGGGATCGAAGGACTGAGGGATTTTCCTCTCTACTCCGTACGCGGGGTACGAGCCGGTCACCCTGTAAAGAGGGATGTAAGCGTTGGTTAGCACACTTAGCAATGCTACGCACTACGGGAGCATGGCTTCCTCCGTCCTCATTCCGCTGAGAGCCGTGAGCCTACGTGTTTTAGCACTGCACAGGTCACTTACAAAGACGGTCGCGGGATCCTTCGCGGGATTCCATCTGGTGTCCGATGGGCCAGGCGCATAGTCCTTAGATGTGTCAGAGAACGCTGGCAGGAGGCAGAAATGAGCGCGCACCGCCAGATTGACTTGTTTTTTGGCCTGCGGCTTGGATCGCTTCCCGGACATCGCGCTGCTGCTGCTGATCACTGAGCGATAGGCGTTGAGACAGACCTACGGGGCAGATGAGCATAGGATACAACCAGCAGGCTGGGAACAGCAGGCGATCGCAGTGCGGAACTTACCTGCAGAGGTCGCGCACAGTGATCGCAAGACGCAGGAACAGCTAGCGGCATGCGCTGGCAGCGGCGCGCACAGCCGCATCCGCATGCGCCCGCCCGCATGCGCCCTCCCGCATGGTTCCGCATGCACGTGCCGTGCGTATGCGGCCGGCCCGTACGGATAGACGGTCCATATGGCATGCCGGCACCGTGACCTCGGGACCACGGATTAATGGTGCCGTGAGTCCAAAAATTAAGCGACATGGTCAGTTGATTCGCCAATATCCGCCACCTGCCCATGAGCACTGCTTGGGCATCCGCAGCCATGCAAACTGAGGGGCTTGCTACACCTTAGATAGTTCACTCTGATTAAAGAACAGGCTGATCGCCCTAATAAAAGGATCAGCCAAGCTATCAGTACAATAGTCAGAGGTGCCTTGGCTTACATGTGTTCTTACTACGGACTTGCGTGTCCAGCCTGGTATCAAAATATTTTGCCACCGAGTATAGGACACGACGTAGTGTAGAGTAACATTAGCTGTGCTGCTGGCATAACTCGTGTACTATACTACCGCCGCCAAGACTGGCAACATATTGTCCAGTATAAATTAGCAGATTCGTTCTGCTAGTTCAGCCGCTCGGCCGTCCGGAAGATGTGCGGGCATGCCGGCGCACTATATTAGCAGACCCAATGCGCTAATTTGTGTGCGAAGCGGCCGAGCAGTTGCCGTGTCACCTCGATTTAACCAACTCACTGTGCAAAGTTAGGCACCCGGTCGGCCGGAGCGCATCCGGTCGCTCAACTTAATGAATTCATTCTGCTAATTTTGCCGACTCGGCCAGCCGGGTGCGCAACTTAGCGCGTCGTGTCCGCTAATTCAGTGACATCATGTTGAGTATGCTGGTTGGAGTTCACTTTTCACCTTCACCACTGACATTTAACCAATCTTTTTCCTTAACTGTTGACCATATATTTATGAAAGAGTTGGAGTGGTAGGGCAGTTGGATTTCCGGAACAAGCGGTTGTTACGGGGATAAGATGGATAGGTCAAGGCCAGTGTCGGGCCTCTCGATAATGCCAAGATGGACGCCCTCGACATCCTGACCCTTGCGAAGAACATTCTCGACCTGGGCGAAGGTATTCGTGAGGTCACGGTCACTGCGGAATTCGTCGCACGCGTCGCCATCCTCGTAAGTGTCCTGTTCTCCTTTGATTCGTCTTATAACAATTTTTCAGCGCTCCGTCTTCGTCAAGAAGCGTACCGTGAAGGACTCTGATGTCAAGGCTTACTGGGAGGAGGTCGACAACCGCCTTGCTGACATCAGGAAGGACAAGACGAGCTCAGATATCTCACGGTGAGCCTATATCTGCCCTTACAGTGAGAATCCAACTAACGTCGCTATAGCATCATTTACCGCTCCCTTCGCGTCGATATCGATTTCTATGGTAATGGTGGAAAGGATATCAATGTCGCTGCCATGCCCTCTGCTCCATCCTCCATGTTTGAGTAGCTTACTGTTGTTTCGTGAACTTTCGTGGATCTACATACATTCTTTAATACTTAATGCTTTACTTCATGTATATACTCTACTAGTGAGGCTGAATACAGATGACTTGTGATGATTGCACACCCCAAACGACGCGAGTGAGTGAGAAAATGAGCCAGAATTAATATTTCGATACGAAGCTAGCTGGGTATCGATACGAGGGATACCTCCTGCTGTCTCGAGCACGACGAGGGATGTCTATCGAGAGATGTCACTGGCATATCACGTCTCGCGAGGTCGGGCTACTACTGTTTCAATGCCCGGGGACGTCTCGCGGGATGTCGCCCGACATTCCGCAGACCACGCCGGAGGTCATCCGCCGGATGTCCGTCCGACCCCCGCCCAAGGCCGTGGTGTACCAAACGGTGAGATAGTACCTTAGAGTTACTACCCCACCAACTGGAGCCGATGTCGACGCCGAAGACGCTGAGCGAGATGAAGAACAAAACGACGAAGGCGAAGAACAGCAAAAATTTGTCGAGGATCTTCTGAGCGGAGCCAACGTCGCGCATCGAGAGGCAGCGGCGCTCCTTGTAGACCTTGACGAGCGTCTGTTTAATCTCTGCGCGCGTAAAATCGCCGTTGTTATCCTTGTCGAAGACGCGGAATGCCTTCTGCGCTTCTTCGGGCGAGGAGAAAGCCGGGTTGAGGTCCTCGGGCAGCAGGTACGAGCGCTTCGGGTGCTTGAGGCGGAAGTACAAGATACGGGCGAGGCGCTGTAACCAGCATTAGCGGGGATCGTATGCCGAATTCAGAGGGAGAAGCATACCTTGGCCTCGCTCGTGCTGTTGACGTTCCAGATAAGCCCGTTGTCGCTCTGCTTGCCCTTATAGTTGCGCGCGTCGTGAAGAACGACCGTCTTCAGCGCCTTTGCAGCCTGCGTGAGCACTTCCGGCGTCTCGTCGCCTGGGAGGCCCGTGCCAGTGGGCGGGTAGCAATGCAGCGAGAGCGTATTCGTCAACGCAGGCGTCATCGGGCGCGACGAGCTGCCCATGAGCTCCATGTACATGTCAGCCTACTGCGACGAGCCCGCGCGGTTGAAGAAGCTCGCGCTCTTCTTCCTGTGGTCCCTGACCTTCTTGTCCACGAGCGTGCGGTCCTTGTCGTCCTCGCCGTCCGCGTCATGACCGTCGTCCGTGTCCACCTCGCGGCTGTTGCGCTGCTCGCGCTTCTTCTTGGTGCCAAACTCGAAGCCGGTCTTTTCGAGCGTCGGAGTGTTGAAGCCGAACTTGTTGAACCCCGATGAGCGGGAGCGGTTCTTGGGGCGAAGTCGCGGTGGCGCTCGATGACGCGCAGTGCCTGAGCCACCTCCTCAATACGCTCCTCAAATGCGGTGCGGTAGAAGTCAAACGCGATGGCGTGGGACAGCATCTTCTGCAGGCACACGACCAGGGCGAAGAAGAATAGGAACTCGATGACTTGATAGACCTACGACGGGTGAGCGTGATGCGATAGTCAGGCCCGAGCGGACTTACCCTGTCCAGATAGGCCGCCTGGCTCGTCTCCTCGTTGTTGGTGTCGTACAACTTGAATATGTGGGCGAAGATGATGACCCAGCTCGCCCAGCCACTCGCGGCGTACAGCAGCGGCTTGAACGTGTTCTTGACGGACACGTAGAGCTCGATGCGGGACTTGATTACTCGCTGACGTGCCCCCAGACGAGGGAGATGAAGAGCGTGGCGATGATAGTGCATTAGATGTGTATGGTCTCGCAGGAAGACGTCAAAGAACAAGGCCTTCCGCATGCGGCGGTTTCCCGACGGGCCAGTGACGGTGTGACGCAAGCGTCAGGTGACCGCGTTGACCGCGCGGTCGGCCTCCTTTGTCCTTTGTCGTTACGGCCGCTTGTTCGCGAACGCGCTACTTCCTCGCCGCAGCTGATAACGCTTACCGACGCAAGTTTACTTTGACGCGATCGACGACACAGACCATCTCCCGACCCGAAACTCACAACGTGCACCATGTCGCCTCCGACGATCGTCCCCGCCCCGCAGATCGCGCAGCTCTCGCCCGTGAAGGGCAAGGGCAAGCGGAAGAGAACGCTGACGCTGGTGGATGGAAGTGAGCTCTTGAGCTTACTGGTGAAGGACACAGCTGATGGACTCAAGACACCCTTGACCTGAACGCGTCGCTGCCCGTCACCCCCCAGGTCCGTTGGCCACCTCTCCCTCACTCTATCCCCTCCCCTCCCCCACTTATCTCATCCTGCTTCGCACCTGCATTTGCTTTCCCCAGATTATGGAAGCCATGCGTCTGCGTATCATTCAGCTCGAGGAGGAGCTCGCACAACGCGAGAGCGGCGCGTCGCAGGTACGTACATCCGTGAAGTCAGGATATGTGATCGCTGAACCCCCTTCGCAGACGTCCGACGCGCGACCTGCCAAGCGCGCGCGCGTAGATAACGAAGACGCATCGGCCTCCGCCTCGACTCCGAGCGCCGCCACGGCGAGCGCGTCGACCACGAAAGCTGACGCAGCAACCGCCAAAGCAGACGCGAAGAAGCGCAAGATGCAGTTCAAGACGTTCTTCGATCGGCTCAAGAAGGAGCTCAAGTCGGACGCGGTCAAGTTCCAGGGCAAGGGCCCGAAGACGATCAAGTTCGACGAGGTGCTCGCACCGGCGGATTTCGAGGGGCTTTTTGGGGTGAGTGGGATGTTTCATCGTGCCGACACGCCTCCTCCCTATCCTCCCTTCGTGTGCATTGGCCATCCCGTTGCGCTCCCCCCTCCCCTTTTCTCTCAAATTTACTCTCTACGCTTCCGTCGTGCTTGCTGACACTCGCGTAGGGCAAAGGCACCCTCATCCAGCCCACGCCGCAGAACAAGCCAAAGAGCACGGTGACGATAATCAGTTATGTGCGTATGCGATTCTTTCCCGCGTTTTCCACGCTAACCTACCTTCGCCAGACTGCAGGGCAGGTCGCGGACCTCTTCGAGGGCGAGCTGAAGGCGCTGAAGGGGAACCGGTGGACGGTAGGCGGTGCGTTCACGCTTCTCCCTGTCTCGCCCTTATTGACCTCCTACGTCGCGTCCCTCGCCCTCTTCACTCTCCCTCTGCCTCGCGCCCCACCCCCTTTCCTCATCCCCTCCCTCTTGATCTTTCCCCATGCGCTCGCGACCCTTCCATCCCACACCTCGCACGCCCCACGCACATTCACTAACAACATCCCCCAGGCCTCCCCACGCGCAACTTTGGTGGCGGCTTCTTCGGCGGGGGTCACATGACGATGAGCAAGTCGCGCAAGACGGGCGCGTGCGACGTCAACGTGCTCGGCCTCGAGGTCTCGTACTCGAAGAACAACATGAAGTGCACGCTCAAGTTCGACGTGAACGAGGTGGGTGGCGGGTCTGAGGGATATGAGGATGATTGGTGGTAAGGATGTGGTGGGGTTGTGTTGCCTGCGCGGAATGTGGAACGCGTTTTGCCTCAGTCTTTTGCTTTCAAGTACGTTCCTATAGTCGCCTAGTGAGTGATTTGTGCCCTTGGATGCGCTTGCGGCTGACGCTCTTGCGTAGTGATAGTTTCGCTTTATTGTGCTTATCGTTCGTACTCAATGCTTTTGCATATACTATTACCTTCCGCGAAGACGCGATGCTTGATTCCGTCGAGCGTGAGCCATCCACCCGACGCGGTACTGAGTCACTCCGCACGGTACGCGACCACACGAGGTGGTCTTCGCCAACGTGAGGCAGTATCTCACCACCCAAGCTCTTCTCCGAGTCAAGCACCTTCAGCTTCTTCACCTTTGCAGGGCGATTGACTCGCAGCTCATACACTCTCGCAAACGCGTCCTTTCACCTCGACGCGTCCACGGGCTGCTGGCCGCGTCCTTGCTTCCGCTTCACGTAGGCTTCCGTCCCTTCCGCGGGGCGCATGCGCTCCCGATGTCGAGGGTGATGCACATCTCGGAGTCGATCAACGCTGTGGGCGATGAGGACTCCGAAGCCAGGCCCACTTTCCACGCCACAGAAATGGACGAAGAGCAGATTCTTCCAACAGACGGACACCGCCAAGGATTTCCTCCATGGTTTCTGGATAAGCTGAGAGTTAGTCGACGATCTCAAAGTCTCCGGTTGATTTCAGTCGACGCTGACGACGCGGCGCCTCTAATGGAGCTGGGGCCTGAAGCGCACGAGGTCAACCCGGAGAACGACGAGCCCGCACGACGTCTGCTTTGCGGTGGATGTCAGTATCATGGTGACAACGACCGGCTCGAGCGTGCGCATGTGTCCATCGTGCACATTCCTGCATGCTATGCGATATGATAGAGCCTCGGCTCGCGCGTCTTCGAGCTCATACACAAACTGACGCATGCCCCGGGGCGAAGGGGGATTGAGGTCGTGGTGGATCTCACTAGTCCTCCTATTGGTTTCGGGGGACGTACACACAGTCAATGCGCGAGAAACGAATTCGGTTGGTTCAGCGCGCCCGTGCAAGCGACATTGTCGGAAAGCGAACGACGAGGTCAGGATAAAGGTGCAGAAGTACTTTTGCTGAGAAACAACCCGAAGCCGAAAAAAAGGTCGGATATGCTCACGATGTAATCGGAGGAGAGAACTTGAGCAAGTAACCAAGCGCTGCTCGAGTCTTGGGTGATCAAACGTTGGCGAGGACGGGAAAGACCGCCGTATCTGTAGCTCCCGAGAAAGTAATAAAATTCTACTGCGGCAGGCTCGACGAGAACGAGTCGACATGCATGATTCGACCGTAAAGTGATACAGAGAACAAGTAAAGGATCAAACCGACGATTCCACGTCCTGAAAGCGCTCCGACCGGTATCGGTATCGCAGCGGTGCCCACGCATTCTCGCTTCCGCTCTGAACAAATATGAGAACACCGGTAAGGATTCTTCCTTCTTGTCAACAACCACTCACCGCAAGCGTCAGTCCGCCATAACGAGCGTCCAGATAACCCGCCCGTACACGCTTGGCTCCGCACTTCTGCACTGCGCCCCGAAAGTGCGGATAGTGTTTGTCCATCAAGCCACGCACGACGCGCGCAGACGACCTATAGAAGTCTACGTCGGAGGAAAACATCGGCCTGTCGAGTTTATAGTCGAGCATCTGGCTGATGGAATGCGCGGAAGCGCTGGCGACAATCTGTGCATGGTCAGTGGCGTGTCCTCGCTTGCAGATCACGACGGGCGAGGGAGAAGGAGCGGGTACGCACATTCTCGAACAGCGCCTCCTCCACGGCAGCTACACGCTCTGCGATGTCAGAATCGGAGTCGGATTTAAGCAGCCGCAGCAGCGCCGCCCAGCCGACGAGGTGGTAGCGCGCGTAGTGCTCGAGCTGCGCGGCCGCCGTGTGCGCGCCCTGCATCTCGGTCACGCCGCGATCTGGAAAGTGACAGCTTAGCGCGCCGGCATACGACGAACATTGGCACTCACGCGCAAACGCATGGTCAAAGAACCCGACTAGCGCCAATGATCCCAGCAGGAACGATGGCACCAGCGCAATTACGCTATAGATGATGAGAACGATGCAGTCCAGATCCTGGTTTGGCGCTTGGGGGGTAGCCGCCAGCAGGAGGCACGCCGGGATGAAGGACACGATCTTCAGCATCTCAATCAGAATGAGCGTCTTATTGCCCGTTCCGCCGCGCAGTCTCGCGAGGTCGCGCTTCAGGGGTAGATGTGTGAGCTGCGAGAGCAGATCAAAAGGGAGCGGTAAAGCTTACAAAGGAGGGAACGGATGAGTCTCCCAGTGCGTTCAGGTGATGCTCGATCGTATGTGCGAGGCGCTCGACTTGCTCGGCACCGGGGTCTGCTCGCGCGAAGGTACTCAATGAGGGGGAATATCCCACAGACCAAGATGCGCACCCTGTCGAAAGAGCGCGATCTGGGCCGCAATGTCATCCTGCGCCCGTCCAAGCCCGCCGATCCACGCCAGGCGCGCGTGCATGTTGTGCACCCCTCTGACAGAGTGATCAGCACGATACTGTTACCAGCCCGGAAGGCGCTCGCCGCGCACCCGCTCAGTAATCCCGTACACCCGCTCAGTACCCCCGAGCACAGGCTCAGAGTTCGCGACGCGTCGACGGCGGTGGGGATGGCAACTACGAGATCGTGTGGATAGCACTGAAAGCGGGACCGCCAACGGCGCGGCCCGGCCCCCGACTCGCGCACGTACTGCCCTATGGCGATGACCTTGAAGAGCGGGTCGACGATGCCCAGGTCGGTGCATGCCTCCTCGAGTACGATGTGCAGATCACGCTGGAGCTGACTTGGGGCATCCGATGCGCCCGAGTCATCGCCTGTCTGCGCGCTACGATGAGCATCATAGAGGATAACGGCATCGAAGGCTCGGCGTACAATGTCTGAGGTATCTGATTGACGCCCGGGCCCCTCGGCGCGACGCTGCGCAAAGGAAAGAAGCCGCGCGACAACAGCTTCAGCCAGTCCGTCCCGGCCAGGCCGGCACAGGAGCGCACGATCTATCGATTCGAAAAGCGGGCGCATGTCCACGAACTCGTGTGCGAACTACGCCCGGCACTGTGTCAGCTACCCGTGGGGGACGTGAAGCCCGTCGGGAACGCACCCGCTCTTCTACGCGGCCAATTATGCGCAAGACCTGCCGCCGACGATCCTCGTCCCAGTCTTCGCACGCGAGCATGTATTGTGCAAGCGCAAGTAGCGCATTCCATAGGAGAAGCCACCGGCGAGAGCGCTCACGCATGTGATGGATGTTCTGCTTCATCAACGCGGCAGGCGAGTCGTCTGTGTAAGACCCCGTTCATGAGATAGTGCTCCGGAGGTCAGTCGAGGAGATTGCACCACACACCTTTGCGCTTAACGCAGTACCTTTCATGGGAACATACGATTAATCCGCCCAGAGGTACGCTAACGAAGATCATGTACACCCAAGGGAAGAACCATTCCCAGTCAAGGAGTCCCTCGCGGTAGCCCATAGCGCAAATCATGGCGAGTAATCCGATCATGAAGTGCAACAGCATGACGAGTGCTCGGTACATGACGCGGGGGAGACACAGCGGGAGCGTTCGTGCGGCACCGGGCTATGGGACTGTCAACCAAGATCGCCGACGGACAGCCGAGATGTGAGGAGGCAAAGGAGAGCATACAGTGGGCGTCACCTGCATTTCCGCGATGTTCCGCTCGAGGACTTGGCAGAAGTCGACAAGGATCGGACGGTCGTCTTTGACAGTGCCGTGTCCCCAAGGATATTCTGCAAGCATTGAGACGCATATATGCGCGGCGATCTCGACGACGCACCTCGCGCCCAGCGCTCACACCTCCGAACCCGTGCGTAGCTCCTTTCGACTTCGTCCTGCGCGACGCTGAAACCGCCAGCCCACACGATCCAGTCGCGCGCCTCGTCATGCAGGCTGGGCGATCGTGGCGCTATGTAAGACGATGGCGGGAAGTGTCAGGAAGAGCTCGTACTGTTGCGTGAAGAAACCGGGGTCGACGCCGGAGTCGAAGCGTATATCCAGGGCGAGGGCGTCGACCATGCAGGCCGCTTGGTATCGTACCGTCGAGCATAATTCGAGTTTGTCGCGGTCCGGTCCGTCTTTGAAAACATAGTCGCACACGACGGCGCGGTCGTCGGCATCGAAGGCATTCAAGACGCCCAAAAGAACTTCCCGAGCGCGCAGGTCATCAGGGGAGTCGGCTGGCATATCTGCAGACATGGGGGAGAGAGGGGAAAATGGTGGATACCGGCGTGTCGCGCAGGCGAGTCTTTGTGGCGGACTTTGAGCGCACGTCACGTCCACTCGGACATCCTCGGATTCGCGGTGTCAGAAGGCTTCTTCGCTGCGTCCATCCTAGAAAGCTCTCTTCGCATCGTATCTCATCGAGCCAGACATATTTCCCGAGAGCGACTGCATTCTGCGTACGACCAGCCCACAACGATCTGTGGAGATGATGGTCCAAAGAAAGGCGAGATGAAATGCATCAACAGTCAAACGATCACCACGTGCGAACTTCCTTCCGCGCTCCCATCGCCATGTCGTGCATCTAAAACCGGACTTGGATCCCCCTCTGGCGCGCGGAACGATGCCAGATGACTTCCCCCCTCTCCTTCTCGACGACGATGACGTGCAGAACGACCCCGACCTTGCCTGGTACAGCGACAAAGGCAGCGGGGGCTACCACCTCCCCTTCGGCACACACGCCGGACGAACGGTGAACGAGGTCCCGGAGTCGTATCTCGTGTGGGCGAAGACGCATCTGAAGGGGCGCTATGTGCGTGCGGGAACATGTTGACAACGAACGCCTTGACTGACGCACGCGCGCAGGGTGTCCATCGCTCAGTCACGCGAACGCTCGGCGCCATCGAGGCCTTCGTCGAGGGCTTGGAAGGATGCCTCGACGCATGGTTTGCCGACTTCATCGTCCCCTGCGGAGTGCATCACCGGGGGAAGACGATACGACGCTGCAGTGATCGGGCGTGGCTGAGCTGGGTCGTGGGACGTGATCGCGTGCGACGCTCGGTGCGTGTGCATTCTCGTGTACAGACGACGGCTTACTGACCACGAGCAGCACCCCCTCTTCGTGCAAGCCGTCCATATATGGCTGGGCAGCAAGACGCGCCTCAAGGCGTCCGTCGATCCGACCACGTTCCTGCCCCCTGCCCGCTACCACGCCGACCTGCGCGAGTCGGTGGCGCACAAGGAGCAGTCTATGCCGGGCGAGGGGGATCTCACCGAGGACGACATCGAGAGCCCTCGCGCTAACTCCGACCACGCCGACTCGGACGCATCGATTACGGACCCCGAGGACGAAGAGGTGCGTGTACTTCCCCTTTTTCTACACCTAACTCTTCTCGCTTCACCTTCCTCGTCTAAACATCCTTCTCAGGATCATCATTCTAAACCTTCCTCCTCTGACGGCTACCGCCCCCACAGCCGTGGCAGCAGCAGCAACTTCGTCGTCGCTGACGACCGCGTCTCCGTCAGCACGGACGACTCCGCGTACGGCGAGCTCGAGCGCGCGGAGTCGCTGCTCCGGAGCGCGCAGAAGCGGCGTGGACGATCATCAGATGGACAAGATCAGGAGAGCCCGAGCAAGCGCAGGGCTCGTCCGCGACATCGGTCCTCGTCCTCCCCCACCCGCAATCTACGCCAGGACTCGCCATCGGGTTCGCGCGCCTCCTCATCCTCACTCGCAAGACCCCCATCCCGCAGGCGTCGGCGACCCTCCACACCAGACAACGACAGTCCCGCTCACTACACGCGCTCGCAGGCACGTATCTTGCAGGAGCACGGGTCGCCGGGCCCGCATACGCGGGCTCGGGCTTTAGCGGCCAGCCAGGCCGCGGTCGACGTGGCGACGAGCTCCACGAGGGTCGCTGGGGCGAGCGCTTCAAGATACGTGGATGCCAGTCATAGTCATACGAGAAACGCGGGGGCGAGTCTGTCCGCGAACGGACTCGCGGGCTGGTCAGCGAGTGCTAGCGCCGCGCGCAAGGGAGCAATACGCACGTACGGACGGCGCGCGCTCACGCTATCGGAGAGATTGGCAAGGCTTGTCGATCTGCCGACGCCTGAGCCTGATGGGGCGGGTGCGCAAGAGGAAGCAGGTGACGCGCATATGTATGAGCGAGAAGAAGAAGAAGAAGAAGAAGAAGAAGAAGAAGAAGAAGAAGAAGAAGAAGAAGAGGAGGAGGAGGAGGAGGAGGAGGAGGAGGAGGAGGAGGAGGAGGAGGAGGAGGAGGAGGAGGAAGAAGAAGAGGAGGAAGAGATCATTGGTGCAGGTGAAAAGACAGAGAAAGCGGATGCTTCGGGACGAGAGCGGGTCGCAGACTACGTGCCCGATAGTGAGGGCGAGGAGGCTTCGCAAAACGAGAACTCACCCTCCGTTGGGGAAATCGATCAACGCAGAGGCGTTGACGACCCAACGGCACCCGGAGATCATGCGCGGACACGCAAGGAAGACGGACGGCGACTAGTATTCTCACATGTTGAGCTGCCGGTGCCTACTCGACATCAACAACCATCGCCACCCTTACCCACTCCTGCCCCCCGCCGGTCATTGCGAGTTGAGAGGACGGATTCCGCCTCACATATCGGAGGTCTCAGTCCGTCATCGCGCGCTGCGGGTCAGGCTCTATCTTCGCAAGCGACCTCGTCACGTCTCATCTTCTCCCATGTCGAGATCCCGTCTCCCTCATGGCGGGACGCGAGCGTCGAGAGCTCCAGGGTCTCCCGTAGAGGTATCAACCCACGCGACGAGCGCTCATCCGCGCTCGACTCGAACAGCCAGATGCGTCGCAGGCAAAGTGCACTCGAAGCACTGCGGCCTTCGTCGACGATGAGGATGACGCGGGCAGCCGCACGGCGCCACAGTCCACCGCCTACCGCGTCGCGGTCATCATCGCCTTCCGTAGCTCGCTCATCGCGCTCGCGCTCGCCTCAGCGCATGATCTCATCTCCGCCTCGCTCTCATTCTACGACACCTCCTGCGCCCGACGAACGCTCTCCCTCGACCGCCGTCCGCCATATCGTCAGCCCTCGCAAGCGCCGCTCCGTTTCGCTCCCGAGAGCCCCGAGGGAGAAGAAGAGGGCAAAGGTTGAAGTCGTTGATAGTATGCCTAGGCGAACGCGCAGCGCCGCTCGATTGGGCCAGTCGGCGTCCGCTTTCCCGGGATCCCAAGCATCTGCGCGGCCGATCCCGATTTTCTCCTTGCTCACCGAGGATGAGGAAGTCGAGGACAGCGAGGGCGAGGCCACAATAACGATCTGTGCGGGCGTCAGAGGTGGGCCCGTCGCGAAATCCACGCGTAATGCCATGGCCTCCGCGTCTGCGCCAGTCGCTGGTCCATTCTCAAGGGCGGTAGACCGCCTGCGCTCCCAGGCCTTGTCGCGCAAGTCATCGGCGTCGGCGACGCCCAGCTCTGCGGCGAACGATCCTCGCAGCTCCGCGACGAAGATCGCCAGCTCGAGCACCGCCGTCGCTTCCTCGAGCTTCGTCGGCTCGCGTCCACCATCCGCACCTCGCCCATCTGCTGCGTCAGCCGATGCTGCGTCCGACGCCACCGGTCTTCGCGCGCGCTTCCCGAATATATCATCTTCCGTCCTCGCTGCGCGCATGCGCGGTGTGGTTGAGGAGGTTCCGCGCGATCCGACGCCGGAAGGTGAATGGGAGTGGTACCTGGACGAGTTCGATATGCTGGTCAAGCGTCCGGTTGTACAAGATGAGCCGCCGCGCGCGTCAGCCTCGAAGGAAAGGGACAAGGGTAAGGGACGAGCGCTCGTGCAGGACGTGTCTCCCGCTCCTCGAAGGCATCCACCGACGAGGATGACGTAGTATATGCGTGGAAGGAATGTAGTCACTGCACTTGTACTCGATGTATCAACTTAATCAAGGTTCTAAGAGCGTGAGCGGGAGGGAGGACGTCACGTGGCAGGCGATTATGTGGCGTCGACATTCTTACCTCGCTTTCCTTCCGGCCGCCATCTTTACCGTCCGCGTACTCCCCTTTTCATGGTCGACTGGGCCTACGCCGCTCGATATCGCCGTTTCAAACGAATGTGTCGACCCTGCATCGAAGTGATCACTGAGCAACACAGTCATTCGCGTAGCGGCTTCTGATGTCGCTGCCCCGTCTCGCTTCTTTGATTCGCCCCGTAAGCGCTAAACATGGGCCAAGGTACGTGTAGAGCGCGAGGAGAATGGTGTCTACGGAAGATTGCACTGATAGCGCGCCTAACAGTCACAGCGTCATACAGGAAGCATCCACAGTACAGCATAGGAAGACATGAACCCGCGGCTCTATCCACACGCCGTAAGCGCTGAATGCACAAGCGCGCGTAGAGAAGTAAGTGCGTACAGGTACACGGTCCGAGCGGCGCCTAATAGGCAAGATATCTAGGGCGGCGCTTATCGTGTCTTGACCACCATTTCTTTCGCCACTCATCGCACCGGGCGCCAAGCGCAGTCTCAAATCCGCCATCGTCCTCAAGTACTCTTTACCTCTTCGCCAAAGGCCAGGCTCGACGCGCCTCGAGACCGTTGACGTGCACGGAGCTATCTGCCATTGCTACTCTTCAGCGTAGCGATCGTACGCGGTACACGAGGCGGCGCTTACCCGCCCGACTCCTCCCCCCTGATATTCGGCTTCAATGGCTGCTCATTTGCCTCTTGCCCCGGATATAACTGTATCAGAGGATCCCATCCCTCCTCTCTTTCCCAGGAAGAACGAGCCTCTCGCAGCGCTAGCCCTGCTCGCGGACGTGCTCAGACCCCTCGGTAGTCAAGACCGCGACAGCGGATGCGCGTACGTGCTAGGCGGACGTTGGGACTTTTACTTGCGCCCGGAGTCACTGAGAAGTGAGGCGAACATACGGGTGGAGGATCTCAGCAAGGCTATCGGCGAGCTTCCACCTTCAGCGAACGAGTCCGCGAAACAGTAAGTCGAGCAGGCCGGCGCTGTGAAGGAATCACGCTGATAGGTCGTTGTATAGCTTACACGATGAGGCTCTGGATTGGCTTGTCTGGCTCGCAGGCTTCGGCGTCGCGCAAGAAGAGATCGCTCGGTGCTACTATGATCTTCGAACCAGGACCCGCTGGAAAACGCGTACGCTGCAACAGTGCTTCGACCCCCATTCTTTCTACTGATTATATATAGACCTTGTGCCGCTGACCGAGTTCTGCGACGACCGGCTGGTCCTTGAGCGCATGCACGCCAACATCGTGCGGGGTCTTGAGGTTTGCGAGCCTGTCCCCAAAGTGCGTTCTTCCTACGACGGATTTCCCCGCGTTCTGACGTCCACAGCCGAGGGCAGCGGACTCAACAGCGTTGAAAAGATTTATTCCAATCATCAAGACATTCTGCTACCTCCTTCTCCTCTGTCCCTTCATCTTGCAGTTCTGGGCGCTCGCGTACTGGGCGGTCACCTTTCGCCTAGGCTATACCGACTATCGCAAGCAGATTGAGGGCTTCCACTACTACACTTTCACGCTCGTAAGTCTCGTCGCTATCTGTCTCTACTTTACCTTCATCACTTACGGTACGTCTGATTGTCACCTCGTATGCGTCCGCTTGCGCTGCTGACAGCCTTTCCCCTTCCAGCGACAAACTCCTCGACTACACGCTTAGAGTATGAGCTGATGCGGATTCGCGAGCAGTCGCGCAGATGGCTCTTGGCGTGGAAGGCGCTCGGGGGCATGGCGCGGAAGATGTTGGACGACGAGAAGATATACGAGAACCGGGGGCAGCATATCATACATATACTGGCTCAGATGGACCATCTGATCGAGGTGCGTGGTCAGCGAGTTCAGCTAATAAGATGCGTATTTGAGACATGATCCACGCAGTGCCCTCACGAGAACAGAGCAACAGGCAACGAGCCGACGGTGCTCGAGTCTTTGAACGCGCATACGATTCATCTTCCTGGTCGGGAAGCGCTCGCTAGGGTTATGGTAGCTCGGATATGCCCGCTCATTGACGGCAAGCGGCGCGGCTGCGAATCAACGGTGAGCATGCCTCTTAATTGCCTTGGTCAACAGCTTTTTGATACGTCCCTTTGAGAACTATGTCTCCTCGGACGGGTCGCAGACCTTGTACGACGCCGAGAGCGAGCGTCTCGATGAGATGATCGCCACAGCGTGCAGCGAGTTGTCCATACGGGATGCCCTATTCATGTTCATTGTGCGGTCGGAGTACGGCGTAATGCCTACCCAAGCACTTCCGGCCCGCACGAACCGTCCTCATCCGCTTAGAGGCCCTGTGGACGAGCTGGTGCAGGCGCTCAAGAAGCTCCCGCCGCCGAAGTTCATCCAGGCGACCAATCAACTGTGCGTGACATATGATTCCTCTTCTGAAGGTGTGGTGTCTGACGGTGCGGAAATACAGTCTCTTCGATAATATGCATGCACGGCTGGCGTGGATCGGCGGTCTCGGGCGCGCGCAGTCCGAAATTCGGCAGACTTTAGCGACGTTAGGCGATGGTAGGCGGCAATAGATTCGAAAGCAGCAATGAACAGTCTCTCTGACGCGTCTCCTAGCGCCGAGTCCGGCACAGCTTCAGAGGGTATTGGACGTTGTTGGGCACCATCTACGCGCGCTGCAAGGCGCTTCTCTCGCTTCCTTCGTGAGTACAGTTCGCACCATTCCTTCGTCGATGCTGACCAATGCCTTTCTCAAACAGCACGACCTATTCGCCGCCCCGCGGGGGAGACAGGTCAAGGCCGTTCTTACTGAAATGCTCAAGTGTTTTATTCCCAGCATGTTCATCCTCCCGCTATTCTTCATCCCGACCATCGTAGGCGGCGACGGTCTGTTCGATGGGTTATTCGGAATCGCGTATGTCTGGATCGTGCGAACACACTTAGAGCCCATCAGCCTCTGCGCGCTCAAGGGATTGCAAGACTATGCCTGCTCGTGTGAGTGCGATTCATTGGCGGAGCCCGACATGCACTACGGCACGAGCGAGGAAACTGACGACTACCCAGATCGCGGCGATGTAGGGGTGCAGAACGTGCGCGAGGCGGCTGCGCGCGTCGAGCTTTACGCCCGCTTCCATCTCGTCCACTGGAAGCTGCTGCAAAAGGTCACCGATGTGTTCCTTCAGCAGCGCGATTCCGATGACTCCGCAACGCTCGGCGACCTGCACAGGCTCCTTGCGACCTTGCGTGGCGTACGTCCTTTGCGAGGATCCCAATGCATATCCTGACGCAATCCGTGATAGAGCAACGACTTATCCACGAACAATATCAGTGTCGCGCTCGACTCAGCCCTGAACAAGCGCACTGAGCGGCCACTAGAAGCAGGGCCGTATGCGCACGCGGATGCTGTGCGCAGCCTGATCGACGAGCACTACCCATTCTTCCAGCCGCAGACGAGGCTTCGCGGGCATAAGCGCGGACGGCGAGGCCAAGCAGACGCTGAAGACTGGCTCGCGCTTGCGGTGAGTGATACACGACGAGCGAGAAACCCATAACGTCGGAGACTGAGTTAGATCAGGACGAATCCATAGATGTCGAAGGCCCGCTGCGGCAGCGCTTTCGAACGCGGGCAGATTTGCGAGACGACATGGCGGCATGGGTGTAGTGAAGCCAATGCTAATGATCTTTTGAGAGACGGGGAATAACGGTTCGGTGGATCAGATAGAAGTAGGGAAGAAGAATGCTGTAGTTTGATGTCTGAACTCGGAAGATCACCATGGTCATCGTCTTCAGCCTGCGCACGCCAACGGAGCCCAACCCGAGCGAGCCACGCAATAATTTGGCTGAGGTCTTGTTATATCGCATCTGGACCGAGCGCAGGAGCAAGCGTGGGTGTGGACGGCGTAAGCGGCGAGGAGGAGCACCGCTGACGACGCTGTGAGGTACATGCTAAGTATTTAGCAGCAGATAGTGCAATCTTCGTGAGTGGTACTTCGACGGAGATCTGCGAGGTGGCGACGGCGACAGCGAGGCCATTTTGCATCCTACGTCGGAACAGTGGATCGGCGAAGCCGAGCTCATTGGCAGCTCTCGAGAAGAGCGACCATCGCGAGCGAGATCTGACATGAAGTTGTTAAATGAGGTGATTCACACAGCAAGGAGGAAGACGAAGGCGTAGTCAGACGCGAAGGTAGGCGAGCGAGTAGCAGCACGGATGAGCACGCTTGAAGGCGAAGACAGATCTAGAGGCTCTGCAGTCCCGTGTAGCCCATATGGTAGTCAATGGCGCACAGAGTATATGCCGTTCGTCGGCATAAATATTCGCACCAAAGAGAGCTGAGAAATCAGCGTAGCGCCGGACGCCAGCAAGCGATGACAGCGCCCAGCAAGGAAGAGCACCGCAATCCTGGCTTCCACGTACCGCTGCCCGCAGCACAGAAAATCCATTCCCTGCCTCATCGGAATGGCGCTAGAGGACTAGATAAGCGCCGAGATCACAATAAGCACCCCGAAGACGCACTAGTAAGATTACTTTGGGCAGGACGAGGCCGTGTTCAGCATCAACGCTCGAGCTGTTTCTTCAGTCATGTCAATCGACGAACTCAACGACGGTGGTTGCGCGCACGTCGGCGAGGCTTGATACAATTGAATGCGAGTGAGAAGCATGACGAGTGCAGTAAGGAAAAGCGTCAAGCTGAGTAAAGCTGTATCCATGGAATAATCAAATAAATTCAACCCATTCTGAGTAGGAAGGTTTCGGTCGTCAGGCGCCACACGGTTCATGCAGTACGCACCTTCACATGGCCCACGCGCGCCTATGTTCTCGACGTCCCCCGGCGCTCCGTTGAGAGCGAGAGATTGTGGCAGATTATCGCAGCAGGTTGTATACCGATGCTTTCGATATGACTCTGTGGGCGCCAGAGTGTGTGAGCGACGAAGTCTTCCGTAGGCGCCGTCCACCACATGCAGTACACGTTCCCTCTCACGTCTTCAAGTATTCGTATGATGATCCTGTCAGTTAAATATGTCTGGCTGTAATCGCGCTAGAGCGGAGTAAGCAGCACCAATCGATTGACTTGTTCAGGGCTGAACAGAGCGTAGATGGGAGGACGAGGCTGTGGCCGAGTGAATTACGCGCTGACACAGCTGTCTGTGTGGCGTATCATCATCTTCCAAGCGAAGGTGACGTAGATTGACCAGCGCGGTCTTCAGCTCAGTGCTCAAGCGCTCATGGCCGAACTGCGCGCGCAGGACGGAGGAAAAAGATAGGACGCCACATAAACATTGACAAACACATGCGGCAAATGCCGGAACTGGAAGTGAACTGTACCAATCACCATCATGGTTTGTCCTGCGTGGCGCGCTTTGGGATGCGATATCTAAGCTACTTCTTTGCGTTCTCGCCTCTCACTTCTTGGCCTGCCGTCGGCGCTTGCTTGAAGCGTTGACATCAGAATCATCTTTGGGCAGTGCTTCCAGTCCAATCAGACGAACAGCTCCTGTTACCCACAGCGTGCAAAAGAATTCTATGCGTCTGTCGTATCTCGATGGAGGCGCTGACTGCATTGGCGCGCTTTAGCGCCGAGAAGGTATGTCCGACACGAGGCGACGGCGCTTACTGGCAACCTTAAATACTACCTTCACGCCCAACACCTTTCAAGCGCGGCGGGTCCCCTTTCGCAACGATGGAAGTACAGAATTTTTATCCCCGACGAAACAAAACACTCGCTGCACGTGCTTTCCTTGCAGTCGCCTTGAAATATCTCCCTGCCGACGACCGCGATTGCGCATGCGAATATGTGCTAGCCGACAGCGATACTCCATATTCAGAACTTGAGTCGATAAGGCAAAACGCAGGTTTCCTAGTGAAGTTCATCGCCGAGTCCATGCGTCACGACTCCGGTTTCCCGCGCGACGCGTTCACGAGGCAGTGAGTGCGCTTTTTAGATCGCAACTAAAAGCTTAGACGACTCTGCCCAGTATACGCGATGAGGGTCGACACTGGCTCCTATGGTCTACTGGTTTCGGCGTCGCGCAAGGCGAGATCGAGGCGTGCTATGGAGAGTTGCGGACGAAGACTCGCTGGAAGCAGCCAGGTTCGTCGTAGCCATACAGTCAAATCTCTATTCAAGCTAACACGGACCTCTTACAGCTTGGACTCGGTGTCTAGTGTTACAGGACGAGCGGCCGATCTTGGAGCGCTTGTGCGAGATTCTTGAGCGCAACATTCGGGCCCTCCAGGATGCCCCGCCAGTGCGTATCGCTCCTTCGTACTCATGTCATTGGCCGTGTTGAACATGCACTAATGATCTACATGCTAGGAGCGCAGATATCAAAGTCGTCGACAGGATTCGCGCGTTCTGCAAGGCGGCCTGCCGCTGGATTCTCGAGCAGTCATACTCATGGCACTTCTATGTGACCGGATTCTGGGCTGCCGCTCTGCGCAAGGGGCTCGCCAACCATCACGACGCGATGCGAGACTTCCGGACATACGCGCTCTGGATCATCGTTCCCTACGTACTCGTCAAGTTCTTTGTCTGGATCTTCGACCATAGATGTAAGTCATCCTGCGTCGACTGCTCATTTCGATCGCATGGCCGGAGACTAACTACTTTCACGGGGATTAGGCAGATCTGACACCGAAATTGCGGAGGCGAATCTATGGGATATCCGCGTTCGCTCACGTCAATGGCTTTCGGCATGGAAAGCGCTCCTGGGCGTTGCACAGATGATCCTGCGTGACGAGGGTCTATATGAGAAAAAGCAGCAGCATCTAGATCTTATACTCGACAAGATGGATCAGCGGGTGAGTGGTCTCATCTGAAAACTCGGAGTATCAGCTATACGTCCCACGTACTAACGATTCGTCAGTTTCACTACACGCCTCTAACATCCGAGGCGTTCGATCCCCCGACGGTCCTCGAATCTCTCAACCTGGGCGCTGTCGCCGTCTTGGATCGTGAAGGCCTGGCTAGGGACGCCGTCACCCAGATGAGCCCCTTCATCGAGAGAGCCTTGTCGACAGTAAGTATACTCTCCGTATACGCAGTCCTTTCACTCATTCGTCATCTAGAACCAATCGCAACTCCCCAAAGATGATGAGGAGACATCCCGTGTGCGGCTCGACGCCCTGGTATCGGAAGCCTGCGACGAGATGGATGTTCAAGATGCCCTATTCAGGTTCCTCGTGCGCGCGGACTACGAGCCGCCCAACTTGCGGTTCGTAGTTCACGAACATGCGCCTTCTCTACTATCGCACGCCATCCGCGATCTGCTCCAAACCCTCAAGACGTTGACAGAGACAGGGCCGGTGCCGGCCACCCTTAAACCGTGCGTGGTGTCTTCTTCGTCCTGCACAGGTACGAGCGACGCTGATGCGGCTAATGCAGCTGGATGGACAACGTGCATGCACGTGTTGCCTGGATTGGCGGACTTAGGCGCGCGCAGACGGAGATACATACGCAGTTGGGGATGCTGCACGAGGGTGAGCTTTCGTCTCCCACGAGTGGTGCTATAGTACCAATGAACACTTTCGTTGACAAATACCTTCCCAGCGCCCAATCGGGAGCAATTGCAACGAGTGCATGATGTGGTCGAGCACCATCTGCGTTTATTGCAGGGCGTTCCGGTAGCGTCTTTCGTGAGTGGTCGCGTCCACATCCCATGCTACCCAGGTCATCCTCATGCCCTGCGTAGCGCGATCTTTTCGCCACTTCACGCAAGAACCAGCTGACGCTCATCTTCGGGGAAGTCTTCAAGTGCTTCACCTACGACCTGGCCTCTCTCTTCTACCCTTTCATGCCGACCATCGTAGGCGGAAACGGCATCTACGACTCCATCTTCGTCGTCGCGTGCAATATGACGCTCTGGAGGAGGGCGGAACACTACAGCAAGCAGGCGTTCTGGGGACTGTGGCGATATGCGGACGCATGTGAGTACGATGCCTTCGCTGCACCTGTCGGTAAGCTTATAACTGGAATTCGTCGCTGACATCGCTTCAGATCGCGACCATATGCATGTGAAGAGCGTCTTCGAGGCGATCGCGCGCATCGAATTCTACTCCCGCTACCACCTCGTCAACTGGAAGGCGCTGCAAATCGCTATTTGGACGGTCCTCGAGACAGATGTTCTAGAGGATGCCGCGTCGCTCGACAGCACGCTCAATCTCCTAACGAGTGTGCGTGCACTGTAGCTCCCGCGAGTCGCATTCTGACATCGCGCCAGGTCAACGCGCGCGCCTCTGCAAAGGAAGTCAGCAATGCGCTCGACTCGGCGATGAACGCAAGATGCAAGTACTCGAGGAAGGAGCCCTATGCACGCGCGGACGTCGTGCGCCGCATGATCGACGAATTCTATCCACGCTTCCAGGATGAGGCGAGTCTTCGCGGCCTTAAGCGAGGGAGGCGGGAGCAGCTAGAGGACCAGGGCGTGAGTTTAGTGAGTTATATACGGCGGTCTCTCGCTGGCGAGTCGAGTCGCGTACTGATTGCGGCTATGTAGGACGCGGACACGAACGTCGAGGGCCCGCTTCGGCGGCGCTACCGGGCGGACACATCTCTGCGAGACAAGTGAGCGTCAATTACACGAGGTGATACGCACTTTGAATCCAGTCTGTAGACTTGTGGGAGCATCTCGACTTCAAGTCGGGCATCATCAACCGTCCCACGATGTACCAGTAAACGAATACGATTATCATGAAAGCTAGTACACTTCGTTAGATGGTAATAAGGACCGACATCAAATAACAGGATCCAAGAACGCGAAAGACGGAAACACAATCCAAAACAATGATAACTGGCCGACGCACGCGCCGGATAAACCGCGCCCACCCTCGAGCTAGCTCCCTGAGCATCGCTCCTCATGCCTATATCAACTCCTCACACCTTCCACTGGCTTACGCCCTCCCCGCGACGGCCGCAGCCGCACGCGGCGGCGACTTCTTCGTCAGCGCGGCCTTCTTCGCCACCGCCGGCGTCGAGCCCCCGCGCCCCCTCGCCTTCGCCGATGCCCCTCGCGACCGCGGCTTGGGCTTCGGCTTCGCGCGCCCTTCCTCGTAGTCCGTATCCTCCGACTCAATGCCGTCCTCGTCCTCCTCCGCGGCCCCGTCCTCCATGTCGTAGTCGCCGTCGGCGTCGTACTCCCCGTCGGCGGTCGTGAGCGAGGAGGCGCGTGAGGCGCTGGGTGGCTTGGCTGGCGCAGTAGGTGATGGTGCTTGAGGCTCGCTGCCGGGCCATTAGATCGTGAAAGAGGTAAAACGGATCACATACTCATGCCGCGGGCGCTTAGCCGGCGAAGACTCGTCCGTCCGCGTTGTCTTCTCGCCTTGATCGACAGCGGGAGCAGAGGGTCTACGATGCGCGTCAGTATGTCAAGCAAGCATCGGAAAGCTTTACTCACGGCGAACGCTTGCGCTTGCTCGACGGCGGCGCCTTCGAGACGGACCCCGCATCCTGCATCTCAACGTCGGCCGAGTCATCCGACCCTCGCACGAATGAGTCACGCCGCGGTGGCTCGCCGGGCGTGTGCGTGAAGGGAGGAAGTACCGGAGGCGCGCCCTCGCCCCGAGCGAACGAGCGTGGGTAGTCGGCGACACGTTCCGTGTCTGGCTCGGGCGACGCGTCCTTGAAGACCGCCTTCTCGGGCGTGGGCTCGCGCGGCGTCGATCGCTCGAGCGTCGGCTCCTGCGTGAAGCTGGAGCGCACGGGGTCGGGACCGTACATGGCAGGCGGCATCGGTGGACGGTCGTAGGAGAAGGAGCCCGCGGACGCGACCACGCGTGGGGGCGCATTCCCTGGCGCAGGGGGAGGAGGAATGGGAGGCGGCCGTCGTGTGGCTTCAGTCTCCGACTCGGATTCTGGCCCTTCGTCCTCCGTCGCGTCCGCGTCAACGGCCGATCCGCTTGGCGAAGCGCGCTTGGGCTTCAGTCGATGCGCGTCGTCCCACGCCTGCTTCGCGACCTCGAACGCCTCGCCCGACACGCCGCGCGCGGACAGCTGGTCGAGGTACGCGCAACGCCGCTCGTACGCCTCCTTCTCCTCAGGGGACACCTCCGCGCCGGGCTGCGACGATGCCGACACGGGCTTCGCCCTCGGCTTGCGCCCCTTCTTCGGCTTTGGTGGTGGTGGAGGGAGGCCTTTGGGCGGCCGCCCCCTCCCCCGCTTCGAGTCGTCGCCATCAGCCTTCCAGACGGAGACTACAAAGGCGGCGGTCAGACACGTGGCGGGAGAACAATGAACAATGGGCGCACATGTCGAGCATCCCTCCATCCAGCGGTCGTCGACGACGGGTGCGGTGGGCGCTTCCGGCTTGGATGCTTCGGGTTCCTCCTTCGTGTCGTTCCACACACCGACGAGTTCCTTCGGCTTGTGCTTCGAGTTCTTGCCGTGAACGGGGCGGTACTTGTAGTCGGGGTAAAGCGCCTGATGTTCCCTCTTGGCCTCCTCCGCGCGTTCATCCCAGAAGCGGCGTGCCTCGGGGGACAGACTCTTCCATTCGCTGGCTAGATAGCAGGTCAGGACGGATAGGAAAACCGAGAGATGACCACGCACATGCAATCTTGCTCAGGCTCCCATTGTTCTTCTCAATCCCATCGGGCAGCTTGTGGTTCTTCGTGAAGTCGGCGCGGAAGAGGATGAACGCGTTCGCGGGGCGCGGGATGTGGTCCTTCGTCCCTTTCTTCTTCTTGTGCGATGGTGGTGCCTCCGCTGGCGACGCTTCGGCGGGGGCGCTGCGCGGGGTGAGAACAATGCGGGCGTCGCTAGGCGCGAGATACATACCGATAATACGGTGTCCGGACGCTGTCAGAGGCGTCCGGTGGCGGCGGAAAGCTCATCTGGGGCGCGACGCTCTCCATCCCTCCTGGTGGTCGAAGTGCAAGTTCAAAAAGGCGCGGAACGTGCGAACAATGGGAATTGCCTAACGCGGGCGGCCTTCGCACGCCCCTGTCCGCAACACAATAGCGTGTTTTGTTTGGCGCTGTTGTATCGCCGGCGCTGTCTTGAGAACAAAGGACAACAATGGCGCGTGCATTATGTACGTCTAGTGTGTATGGTAGTTACTGTGAGTACAGCCCATTATCTATCGCGTTCGCGCGCATTTACATTATGTTCGTTTAGTAGTAGCCACCGAGGACCGCCAGGACGTCGCCGGCGTCCTCGTCCCAGGGCTTCACGCCCTGGCAAGCAAGCTCGTACACATCGTCTTCCGTAAATCCACCATACATCTGTCGTTCATCGTCGTAGTCGTCAAAAGCGTCGAAGGTGCTGACAAACGCGGGCCCAGAGTAGAACTTGCTTGCCGACGATGATGTGGAGGGGCCGCGTCTATGCCTTGTGTTCACGCCGCCGCGCCGCGCGCGATTGTTCCCCGACTTGCGTAGAGCAGAGCGCACGTGGTTGCGCACGATCTCCTTCTGGTGAGGGTCGTCCCACCAGCCGTTTGGAGGCAAGTCGGCGCGACTGTGCGAGTAGATGCACTTTTCAGCGCCGAACCGGCAGTCGTCGAGCAGAAAGTGCAAGCAAACGTTCTGGCCGCTGCAAAGAGTCATTGTCAGCGTGCGTCATCGCAGCGACCAGTGACTAGAGCACTCACACCGCATCGCGCACGCTCTTCTCGTCGGGCGCGTGCGAGAAGGTGCACTTGTCGCCGCGCGCGCAGCCGTCGTGGTTGTGGAAGCGACATGAGGGGGCCGTCGACGTGTACTTGTCGTCGCCAATACACTGCGCGACCCAGTCCTTGCAGCCGCCGTGCGTCTGCGGGAAGTCGTAGTCCGCGTCCTCGGGCGGGGGCCCGGCCGCGTCCGCCAGCGGACGCACCTGCTCGATCGCGCTCGCGGTCTTCTTGAAGCCCGGGTTCGTGGCTTGAACGAAGTTGAAGTCTGGGGGAAGGGGGAGCGGAACATGAGCCTCGGGTAATGACACGTAAAGTCAGAACGCACCCGCGAGCGCCCCGTGGTAGTTCTTCGCCATCCGGCGGATGTTTCCCCTCGTGTAACGCACGTTCAGGTGCATGGGGTTGAAGGTCAGTGCACGAGTGGCGGCCACCTCGGCCTCATAGTATCTGCATGTGGCGCCCTGCTCAGCAGACGGTCTCGGAGGGAAGACGGGCGCACGCACCTGCACTGCTGGTGGTAGATCTTGCACAGCTCGACGTAACGGTCGAGACGAGGGTCTTCGGACATGATATGCTTCGTAAAGGTACAAGAGAGCTATGCGGCGATAGATGAAGCAGAGACAAGGGGGAGACGCGGGCTGCAGTTGGCCCCGTCGCGGAGGATGAGGGAAAGGGGTGCGGTGGCGCCGCATGGAGTTTTGTGGCGGCAACACGTGATCGCGCCTCCAGGCTCTGACGCTTCATTACGCTCGCAGGATACGGCGCTCGCATCCTGTCAAGTCCGCAATCGCAAGTTTTCAGCTCAGCAGGAGTCTAGTCTCCCCCCTTTGCGGATCGTCCGCCCTCATCAGCCTTAACCAGCATGCAACCCTTCCCTCCGCTCGCGCTCTGCATTCTCTACATGACCATCCTCGGACATCTCTGCCAGATCGTCGTGGGCTGCGATTTAGCATATTACACCCGTGTCACGACATGGAGGCACTTGACAATGACTGGGATCGGCGCTGTCAAGAGGCATTCTGACGCCGCCAATCGGAAGGGCAGACGTCAAACAATGAACATGACACGCGCTCCAACTGCGCTATAAAGACTTGTGGGTCTGATTGCAAGCGTCTCGCGCTCTCTCCTTCCTCGCCCATGTCTGCCAGTACAACATCCGACTTTGGCGGTGGTCTGCCCTTGCGAGAAGCATTCTTACGCTCCCTTAACGCCCTCGACGCCGACGATCGCGCCATTGTGGGCGACTACGTGCTCAACAACGAACCTGACCTCAAGAAAGTCGACTTAGGCTCTACTGTAAGGTCCCAAGCGAGCAGCCTGGTCGACCGCCTTGCAGAGTTTATACGCTTCGACTCCGATGTCGACCTCGGTCCCGCCACGCGGTAGTGAGTACGCTCTTTACATTGTTCAGAACGGGCTGACTCTGCGATCGTCCAGCCTGTACGACGAAGCCCGCGACTGGATCGTGTGGACCGGCGGGTTCAGCATCGCGCAGGAGGAGGTCGAAGTAAGCTACGGCACGGTCCGAAGCTGCGAGCGCTGGGCGCGAGGTGAGTCGTCGAGCAGGCCTCCGCGTGTGTTTGCTTAACGGTGCTGTAACAAATCCTTAAGAAGGAGAATTCATTATCAAGAGCGACCGCCCAGTCCTCGCCGACTTTTGCAAAGTGCTCGAGCGCAACATCGCAGACCTGCAACCGATGCCCATTGTACGACTATTCCTCTTTGATATCCTTCAGCCACCTATCGATCGACGACAGTAGGCTGACCGTTCCGCAGCCCGGACCTGTGAACGTACTTCCCTTATACGAGCCACGCACCATGCACAAAGCACTGGCCGTCATGTACTACCTGATAGCCGCACACTTCGCCATCTTCGGTGCCATCGCGTACCGCGCGGGAGTCCTCAACTGGGACTGGGTGCGCAATTGGGACCCCGTGATCTTCATTGTCGGGCCTATAGGCTACTTCATCGGAGCGCCCGTATTATTGTACTGCTCTGACCGGAAACGTACGTCGTATGGCCTCTTCTGACCCGCCATGGACCACAATCTGACCATCTGACCATCTAGTCTACGCGTACTCAGACCGCCTTCCCGCTGCGCTGATGCAGCAAGACATCCAATGTATGCGCGAGCGCGCCCGCCAGTGGGTCCTCCTCTGGAAGGCGCTGCTAGCGCTCGCGCAAGACATGGTTGCGAGCGATGGCCAGGACGAGAGTCGTCGGCATCAGTTGCTGCGCATATTCGACCGCGTGGACAAGCGGGTGCGTGCACGGCAGTTTTCCGTTTTCCTTGCGTAGCTGACGAGCAAGGAACCCAGTATATGCATGCTTCTTGGGACTCGCTCCCGCTCCTCATCGCTGTGGACCGTGCGCTTATCTGCCAGGTCGATCGAGACGCGCTGGCGGGAGCCATTGTAGCGCGGCTACTCCCGTATTTCAAGCACCGCGTCGAGGTTTCTGGGTCTGTATGGGGTTACTCGGATGTGGTACGTCATCTCTTTCTTGAGCATCGTGTCACTCAGTACTCACGTCTTCCCCGCAGACAGGCAGCGCCCTCGGGGAACTGGATGCCCAGAATCGACTTCAGCTCGACCTAAACTACGTCCTCGGGGAGGCGTGCGCTGAGTTAGGCGTTGTCGATCCCCTCTTCAAGTTCCTCGGCATATGGCCATACGTGCACAAGTCTTGCGGGTGTGGGCAGGGCTATTTCAGCGCCCGCCCACGCTATGCGAGCAGCCTCCGGGACACCATCCCTCGTGCCATTGACGCGCTGTGGTACTTGAAGTCGCGCCCCGGGATCTTCAATGCGTGCGTGGAGGACCTCTTGTGAGTCTGTGCTGTGCTGACCCCTCGTAGCGCGATTCGCAACATGCACATGCGTCTGGCGTGGGTCGGCGGGCTAGGGCGCGCGCAGCATGATATTGCGGCGCAGATCGCGCTCGCCCGACGAGGTCCGTGTTGCGTTACGTCCTGGCGCCCCCATTGATCGCTCCCGCTCGAGCAGACCCGAGTCCTGAGCAGGTCCAGTGCCTTGTCGCGACCATCGAGCACCACCTGAACGCACTGCGGACCGCCCCCGTCGTTCCCTTCGTAAGCACCTCCCCTCGCTCTTTCGCCGTGCCCTTGCTCATGATCCGTCGTCCGCTCTAGCGCGACCTCCTCAGCCTCGACGGTACGGAGAAGAAGACCCTCGTCCTCGTCGAGATCCTGAAGTGCCTGTTCTTCGTCCCGCTGTGCCTCCTGCTGGCCGCCATCCCGCGCATCGCGAGCGCGTACCTCGACTCTGCCGTCCTCTTCGTCTACAGCCTGGGCGTGATCGTGTTGCTGAGCGAGTTTGGGCGTCCGGTGCTTGAGGGGCTGTGCGGCTATGTGCATGCGTGTGCGTGGCATTCGCTTTTTTATCTTTTTTTTTCTCTTTGATTTGTGATATGCCGCCGCCCCTCGCGAGCTGGCTTCTGCGTGGACCAGCGTGCTGACGCGCCCTACCATAGATCGCGGCTCGGTCGAGGCGCAGCGGGCGCACACGGCGGCCGCGCAGCTCGAGTACTACGCGCGCTATCATCTCGTGGGCTGGACGGCGCTGCTGCGGGTGCTCAGGTCGGGCGTCGAGTCGGCTACAGCCGACGCCGGTCCTGGCGTAGCGGACTCCAGTCCTGGCGTAGCCGACTCGAGTCCGGACAACGCTGAGCGCGTAGCTGCCGTGCGGGAGGCGCTGTTTGAGAATGTGCGTCTTTTCCTGATGACCTGTCTTTTGCTGGTCTGTCTGTGGTCTATGATTATTGAGAAGGAGTGTTTGACGATGGAGGGGAGCCCTTCGCGACAGCCAGACGTGGCTGGCGATGGGGACAGGGGGCTGGCGATGGGCGATGGAGAGAGATGATCGCCGACGAAGAGGAGTGGCGTAGAACGGCTGGCAACCGAAGCTGACCCGCCCAACTCATACACAGATCACTGCGAGCGCCTCTCTACTACCCATCAGTATGGCGCTCGAGCTCGTTTTCTACAAGCTGTGCGGGCGCGCTGTGCCTGATTTGGTGGAGAAACACTATCCGCATTATCGGGGCGCGGCGTAGACGTGTCCTCCTCCCAGAGTGCGTCGCAGGCGTCTGGGAAGTGAGTGTGTATGGATGGGGATCCGGGGGCGGTTAGTATGGCGGGAATGTATTTGCTGGTCACGGCGGAAACATGTTTGCTGCGAGTGGTCATTGGAAAGGTATATATCTGCAGTCTGTAATGTCGGTGTTCTGGTAATTATCTTGGGGTGACAGAAGACACGATGATGTTGCCGCGACGATGGCTTGATCTGAGCGCTTTCACGAAGTCGATTTGTAGGAATATATACAATGTGTGCTACGACCATGCGCGTCAGCTCGCGATCGCACTCTCAATCATATTCTCCTCGAGGTGGTCACGTCCTTGTACATTGACTTCCTGGATCGATGGACGCGAAAGCCTTGGACTGATTCCCCAAGCTTCGACCATATGAGCCTTCGATGGATCAGGTTTTGTGCACCGAGCCGTGCTTTCCGATGCTATCACTGACTCCATCGAAATCAAGTCGTTGACTCGTCTCGTAAGGTTTCCTGAGTACGATAACGCTGCCGAAGCGGGCCCTCAGCACTCGTGTACTCGTCCTGCTATCAGTTAGCGCCCGAATTCGTTATCGCCCCGCATTACTCACCAAAAGCAGGAGCAAGTCTCCATCGTCTACCAGCTCTAGCCTGCCACGCTTATTCCTAAGATCACTGGGTTCGCGCTGGAAGTAGGGATAGTGCTCGTCCATCATGCTCCGCACAGCATCCGCGTGCGCATACGGCTCAGCAGCGAGTATCCAGTCGGAGCGCTTGCCCATGGCTGATTCGAGCGTGCTGTCGATGTCGGTCGTGGGGGAGACGCTGCTCTGTCGCCGGTCGCATGAGATTTTCGCCAGAGATACTAGGTGCCGAGCACATACGTTCTGCACGATCGCAAGGAGCCTGTTCATTTCAACCCGGGTCGCAGCGTTCTCTGGATCGCTCGCATGGATCAACGTATCGATGATAGTATGCAGCAGCCGCCAGTGCACGAGCTGAGAGCGCGCGTGAAACTCCACGCGCGCAGCGGCCGCGCGCACTGGCTGCACCTCCGTATGGTCGCGGTCTGGATCATCGTCAACTCGCGTCGGGTCGCCAGTTAGATGCGAAGGATTCCCACTCACACGAGCGGGCAAAGTGTCGAAGTCCTGCCAGTGCGCAGGAGCTGATGGGCTCCAAATTGTTCCGCGCAAAGAAGGCGTACGCAATCCCGAACAGCGTATCGATCAGCCCATCGCCGCCCTCGAAGGTCGGGGTAAAAAAGAGCGGGAGGATCGCAAGGTCGTGGATGAAGCACTTGAAGACCTCAATTAGGACGAGCTTGGCCTGTCTCTTCCACGGGGCGGCGGATAGGTCATGCTGCACGATAGGGGAGTTTTTTTAGCACCGAAAGGGGTACATCATATGAACGAACGCACGAGAGGAGCGAGAGGAGCACTTTCGAGTGCATGCAAATGGTGCTTGATGCAGTTTGATACCCTGCGAAGTTGTGCCCGGCCCGGTACTGAGAGATATAGGTTACGGGTGTTCTTCACTGTTACGCGTGGTCTATCGGCGCCTACCGTCGTCCAACGTCGCCAGATTCTCCCGTATCTCGCGCTGCGCGCGCCCGAGGCCGCCAATCCACGCCAGGCGCGCGTGCATATTATCAAAGAAACTGTGCGTCTCGACGTCAGATATCGTTGAATGGCGGATACTCCCAAGCGCGAAGTACTCTGCACGACGACGCACAGTTGAAGAGTCTCCTGGATGAATTCAGGCTGCTGGAAGGTCTTGAGGGCGCGGACCAAGTCGTCCACAGCATCCAAGAGCGGGTGAGGAAGGTTCATGTTGCTCAGACGCAGTTGTGTGGGCAATACGCCATATCTCGACCGAATAAAAAGTCCAAATAGTGCATCCCGCGCAGAAAGCTCCTCGCACGTCGTGGCGATCATCACGTCGAGCCGCGCCTTCGATGAACTCTCGGCGTCACCCGGGAGCTGTGACATATCCGAGGACTGCGACCCGTCTGAGGAGGCACGGCCCTGGGCGGCAATGACAAGATTCAGATCACACTTCAAGAATAAGGCAAAATGATCACCGTCGATGTGAGCTCGTCGATCAGCTTGCGTATCCGCGCCACCATATCCCTCGCGAGTGCCTCCCGATTAGGAATATGGATCGTATGCGCATTCAAGGTTTCGAGCACTGTTGCCTCGTCTCTCAAGTACCGGATCTCGCGAGGGCACTGCAGATTAGATATGAGTATAGAGCCTACCACTGGATCCAACGCGCCCAGTCTAACCGGATTCACGCGATACAGACCTCGATGATATGATCCATCTGCGCAAGTATGTGGATGATATACTGCCCTCTGTTCTCGTACGCCTTCTCGTCGTCCAGCATCTTGCGCGCCAGGCACAGGAGGGCGTTCCAAGCCAGCAGCCACTTGTGGGTTTCCTCATGGGTCTGCTCTAGCTGGTATACTGCGTGCGTGATAGATGGGTTTGCGACTGGTGGGGAAAACGGCATATCATCAGAAACGCGCGCGAGAGCTGGAAGAGGGGAAGAGAGACATACCGCGAGTCGTGTAGGTAACGCATAGGCAGATTATGACAATACCCAGCGAGAACGCGAGGGCGTGGTACGGGAAGCAGGCAATTTGTCCGCGATAGTCGGTGAGTCCTCGGCGGAAAGTGACTGCCCAGTACGAGAGGGCCCAGGAGTGCGCTATATAGGTGAAGAGGAGGAGGGTGTGGCCTAGTGTTAAGCACAGTGAAGAGAGCTTTTCAAAAAATCTGGAGGTCGACTTCCTCGGCTGTGAAGATCAGAATGTGGGCTAGAAGATCAATTTGAGGACAACGTACCAAAGGTATCTCCTTGCAGACCTCAAGACCGTGCGTGATAGCGTCACACATGCGTCCCAGAACCAATCGGTCGTCGTGCAACTCGGTCGGTCGGATGAAGTCTAGAGAAGATAAGACACGAGAACCGCGATGAAGTATTCGTTGCAACCCACACTGCTTCCAGCGAGTCCTTGTTCGAAGCTCAAGGTAACACGCCGCGATTTCTTCTTGCGCGACGCCAAAGCCTGCGAGCCACACGAGCCAGTCCCGCACCTCTTCATGAAGACTGTACAGTGCCATGTTAGCTCAGTACTCTGTCGCGCATTTTTTTCGACTCACTGCGTCGTGAACACGTCGCCTGGGGCCGGGAGATCGCCCATCCTCCTGGTGAGATATTTCACCTGCGCGTTGGCCTCGTTCCTCAGCATATCCGCGCCCGTGACGTTATATGAGCGGCCTCCCAGCACGTGCTTGCATCCGATCTCACAGTCTTGGTTGCCGAGGGGTCTGAGCGCGTCCGTGAGAAAAGCTAAGGCGGCGGGTGGCTCGTTCTTAGGCAACAGGGGTGGGTACGCCTCATCTAGTAGAGCCCCATCGGGCAGAAGGACCATTCTTCTGTTCATGGTGAGTCGCGATGAAGGAATGCGGTGGGTAAATGCTGTCTATACAGACGCAAACGCAAGCTCGCAGCGCTTGCGAGATTCTTATAGAGCTCGCAGTACGTGAGGAGCTTCGAGGTTCGTCGGCCTACAGAATTGGCGATGGGTGTGAAAGTCAGGCCAGGATCGTGCTGGGTGCACGGTGCGATGAGCGGGAGGTTGGTACACGCCAAGTAGCAACAAGCGCCGACTCATGGGCTTCCCATTATGCTGCTTGACACGTGTCGAAATACGCACGTACCTTCACACCGCTGGCGGGCGCCAGGATTTCAAGAACCTCCGGCCCTCAGATAAGACCCTGATATATGTGCCTGATCTTCAAATATGGACCGGGGTCCTGTGAGCGTCGTGGGTGTCTAGTCTGGGATCCACGCAATCTTGTGTGGGCGCCTACCGCCTCATGAGGTACACGTGCTTTCTGGTCTATACAGCGCCTTCCGAATCCTCACGATGAAGCAGAGTTCGCGGTCCTCCTCTTTCAGAAGTTCGGAGTAAGAAGGGCTTGCGCTCAGGCAGTACTACCCGAAGCCGCTACTCGGTCGGCGGTCGTCGATGCAAAGGGCGATCTCGACCATGTTGGCGCCACATAGTGCCCGGACCTGTCACGTGTAGGGTGAAAGTCAGCGGCAGCCTTTGGATCTCGACTCTGTACCACATTCAGTACGCATTCCGAGTCTCATGCGAGCAGTTAATTCCGATCGAAATACCCCTCGAGCTATCAGATTTCAAACTCGCTGAAGCGACGTAAAGTCAAGAGGCTCATTCGTAGCCTCGACTCATCTCCCGCCCAGCGCCCTCTCCTGCTCACCCAACGATGAGGACGGGCTAAATAGATCTTTACAGTTCATGATCGTAGACCAATGACACGGAGGTGCTAACCATAAGGCAACATATAATGAGTACTCTGAGAGTGCGGAATGGCGCCTTTCATTGCACATCCGCAAGTAGGTGCTTCCCAGTCCTAAAAGCTGGATAGCGTTCGTCGATAATTTCGCGCACGACATTCGCCTGGGAGTACACTTTGCCTTGCTTGAAGGATGCTCGCTTCCCGTCGAGCGCCCTCGCAAGCGAGACCTGAATGGAGGGTTGAGCGGCGCTCAAAACCTGCAGGAATCGTACATCAGAGGCGGCATGCGTCTGAGAGGTATGAACTTACGCTATCCATGAGCATACGTACGGTATAATCTGTGCTCTCCGAGTCGCTCGTCGGCTCGTCGATGGCCACCTGCAGCGCCTTCCAGCCGAGGATATGGTATTGCGCGAGGCGCTCGAGGCGCGCCGCAGCGTTAGTTGCTTTGTGTACCTCGCGACTCCTGCAGTCTGCGCGCGCTAGTCAATGTCCCATAAGCCGCATCGACAAAAAATGCTCACATCCGGTAGCCAAGTCGTACAGCCCCTTCAGCGCCAGGTCTCCGGACGGACCGATCGTGACCCTCAGAAGGATGTTATACGCCAAGCCGACGACACCTTCGACTATACGGCTCTCTGACGTCGGCACAATGAACAAGGGGAGATGGGCCAGGGCGTATCGGCAAGGTTTGAACGCCTCGGTAGCTATGAGCTTCCTCCTATCATCCGCGCTCAGGTTGGCCGTAAGCAGGTCGCGCTGTCAAAGGACGAGAGTCAGCGAAGGTATAGACACAGTTTACAGCTCTAGCGGAAACCCACAGAAGAAGGCGGAGGCGCGACGGATAGAGCACTCAAATAGTGGCCGATGATTTTGGACAGATGCTGTAGATTCTCGCGCGTGGGTTCTAGGGAAGGTTGAGTGCGAGCTTTCAAGGCAAACAGCTCACACACCTCGTCGATGAAGCTCTATATGCGCCTGAATATCAGCTTGCGCGCGCCCGAGCCCGCCGACCCAGGCCAAGCGCAGATGCGTATTGCGGACCATACTATGCGCTCGTCAGTTCCCGGATACGCAATCGTGTCACATTCGATACGCACTTCTGCAGAGTGGTCGGGAATGGTTCCAACCCTTGAAGGGCGGCGACCACATCGTAGATGGACTCGGTGAGCTCATTGGAATAGCGCGTCGCGGGCTCGACGCGCAGCCACGGTATGCCCGTGTATGACGCGGGACCGAGGATTTTGAAGAACGGGTCGTGGAAGCCCAGAGCATTGCAGATACACAAAAGTACCGCTTCCATCTCAGCTCGATGCCTTGCTTGAGGGTCTTGGACTGCGACGGCTGTAGAGGCGTCCCGCAGTGACTTCGGACAATAAGCAGCTATGCATAGCACGAAGACGGCCTCATCGCTCACTGTATGATCCTCTTTGTCCTCGTCTTCGGGCGGGATGAATGAACTGATGCGAGATACTATCTCCACCATGAGCTCGTGGCCGTCTTCAAGAGAGAGAATGCTGCCGTGAGTGGATTCCAGAGTTGTCTTCCCCGGGTACGGGGGCCCATACTTGGGATGATAGGGCTGTGAGAAGAGGTAAGCTGCCGGTCCGCGATGACGGACCATCAAAGCTGCTCACCGTCATCCGCGGGTCGACGAGGTCAAATATCCGGCGCATGTTCCCCAGAACGACCTCGTCCATATCCTCATCGGCAAGGACCCTCTCTGTCAGCGCCAACAAAGTCTTCCATAAAAGGGACCACTGGCGTGAGCTCGCGCGCAGCCGCTCTATATCCGACGTTGCCCTTTCCGATGGTGAGCAGACTAGGGCACTTTAGAGACAGGCTCGACGCGCTAGATGGGGATACAACGTACTTGCGCGATTATCGTACACCATGAGCAGCCATGCGATGGGGGAGAGGACGGCGACGGTCAGCAAACCCATGCGCACCTGCTCTAGACTCGCGACCGCGTTGACAAGCCCGCCGATGCGATAGGCGACGCATAGCACGGGCAAGAAGAACAGATGCAGCTCGTAGGCTAGACGCGCAATGAGAAGGACGGGCGAGTGCGGAACCAACTGCTTTTGGACCAGTTTTGCAGTTCTGGGCTGATGTCCATCGGGGTCAGAGTTTGACGGGCGCTAGAGATGTGATGAAGGGGAGCCGCACCTTGGGGACGCGGTCGAGGGCCTCGATGCTTCGCTGGACGGCATTGCGAAGGCGAAGGACCATCAGCCGCTCGTCCTCTCTCGTGGTGTACCCGATAGGGCTTGGCTCGGGTTGGAGGAACGAGAACCTCGGAGGCTTGGGCGTAGGCGCCCATCGCGCGCATTTGCGGAAATCGGCGTAGCGCACTTCGAGGTCATGCTGTGCGACACCGAAGACCGTACCCCATACGATCCAGTCCCGTGCCTCGCCGCGCAGGCTGCAGAAGACGGGGTCAGGAGGTCACCGGGTGACGCGATGAGTTCGCGCACGCACTGCTTCGTGTACGACCCGCGATTAATTTGCGTGTCGTCGCGCAAGATCTCGGCGAGGGACTTCAACAGATACTCGGCGTCTCCCCTTGCGTCCGGAACGGCGTGCGCGAGGGCCCACGGGTCCGATTTGGTCAAGGCGTAGTCGCACGCGATCCGGCGGTCATCAGCGTCGAGAGCGCCCAGTACCCCCGCGAGAAAGTCCCGCGCGCAGATATCATCGCTAGAGTCATGTTGTAGTCCGGTCGACATGACGGGTGAAGGCAAGGATGTGCGGCGCTTAGCATCGTGGACTTAAGCGCCATCACGAATTCACACGCCCGTCTTATGTCAGTCCCTCGGGGAGCAAAATATGCTTCCGTGATGTCCCCAGGACGTTGAACTCTCACCTGCGATGGTGAGGCAGGTATACGGCCTCTGCATACGCGTGGCAGCGCATCGCATAGATATACAAATCACGGTACAAAGGCAGCACAGCCCAAGCGGGCTCGTAAATGCTCTTCAAACGTCTTTTCGCCCGATATGATGAGGCTGCAATGACTATTGACTGCGCTGTTAGCGTCCCCTCCCTATAGACCATGCAGCGCAAGATCGAAATCGACAGGAATCACTCACCGTCGTCGGATATGCGCTAGGATATGCGGCCGTTGTTTGCGATGCAGCGAACCTCTCTGTCTATTTTGGAAAGAATATCTCGAGGTAGAAGGCGTCCAGAAAAGAGAGAGGGTATGTCTGGCGACATATCTAGCGGTCCTGAGGAAACAAAACGAGGGATCCCGAGGTGAGGCACGCGGTGGATGGCGACGAACATGATGTATGGCGAGGGACACCAGAGAGGGAGAGGGAAAAGGATCATCTCATTCAGGACTTGCAGCGGAGAGTCAGACGGGTCGCTTCTGAGTGTGCGACGAAGGCAACGCCGCCGAACGCACGACATGACGGTGAACGACTAGAGGACAAGCGTGACTCACACGAATACGTCATAATCCAAATGGAGACGAACCACAGTTGCCCATGCCAAGCCTAGCCAAATAGAACGCCCTTTGTTCTTGCCGTCATCTTGCGATCGTCCTTGTCTCAGGATCGCTCGAGTCTCTCATCTTTCGCTCTTTTCCTGTATATCTCCTCAATACTGCATTTTGTCTCCACATATGCCCTAACCCTCTCTGTCTGGCGTTATCTTCCAGGATACTGGCGATCGAGCGAACCAGTACTTTCATCTCCGTGTCGCTTCTCTGCATCCTTCGAGTATATCGAAGGATAGGGATGTGAAGTGGACGTGAACACGCCCCGTTTGAGAGGTTCCGACAAGCTTGACGTGCAGAAGCGGAGGAGGCTTCCTCATCCGTACGTGACAGCGCCCTACCTTGCTTCCTGTCGACTGATCCTGCGCAGAGTTCAGCTTGAGCAAGACCGCCACTCATGAATCACAAACTCCATAAAGCCACCTTAACTGAAATCTCTATGGAAGCCCCCTTTGTCCTTCGCTCTCGTCAATCGTTCTAGACGCGCGCGTCGGCAATCCCGCATTCCCGATCACCTTCAGCCTCGCCCACCCCCCCAGCCCCCTCAATCTCACCCGGAAGACATACATCAACGCATTCTCGTACTCCGTGCATATCTACATCCCGCTCGAGAAAACAGCTGACTCGCAAGGCTGTCAAGTATTGGCGCGAACCCTCTTACGGAGGTGACGTACCGCCCGCGACCACTGCCCGACCAATAGCCTTAGCCACGCGTCACTGACGACCGCTACATTCTCACAGCGACAACTGACATCCATCTTCCGACGACTGCAGCGTCCTTCCGTCCTTCATCGTCGTTACGATAGACCCTCGGGACGCGCTACGGCGCCGCCGCGCACTTAGTCATGATCAACAGGTTGTCGTCGTGTTGCTTGTCGCGGTCCACCTCACGGGCTTGCAACGAGCCTCCAAAGGGTGGTGAAGGCTCAGAACGCATGGACCGAGAGCTGTTCATCAACTGACCGAACTCCTACGCTGGGCGAGGACTGTACGTGTACTGCAGAGGTTAGGGGAGCCGGGTCCTGTCTTTCCAGTCGACGTGTCAGACGGAGAGTATGTACGCCGGTCGAATACTGCATTGATGTACTCATTGTAAGAGGTATAATTTTGAGATGATAATCGTTTTTCTCAATCCTGTTGGGCTCGTCGCTTCTGTTGCGTATACTCACCCGCCAGTTTTCAATGCCCTCTGCCTATCCAGCACCTCTACAAGTAGCACCTTCGATCAAAGCAGTTCAATAACAAGCCTTCCTGCACGTTGCCACCGCAAAATTCCGAATGTATCCTTAACAGACGCCTCGACTCTCGTAGGTAAGTAGTCGAGGGGCGGTGTTCTAGCTATCGATGACGCTATCCACAGAGTTCTAACGCTGACGCCCAGTCAGTGCGGCCGGACACAATACGGACCATGTGGCGACATCACTGATCGCACCGCTGTGGGTGATTCACCGCCTTGCTGATCGCACACCTTCGCCTTCTTGACCCAAGCTCTCATCGCAAAGCATATAGCGCTTATCGTCAAGTCTTTAACTATGATGGCGTATCCAGCTGCGCCTCAGTCCATGCTCTCAGTCTGGCTCGATCGACTCGATCCGCGCAATTGGGGGCGTGGTCGCTCAGCAAGTTTGATCAATCTCGTTCGCGCGTCGTTCGCGCTAGCCGTGCCTGCTCGTCCGGGAGTCTCTGGCCTTCGATTCTCAGCTACGCTGGACGACATCGTCCCTGCCTCCAGAAGCCCGCACCCCTCTCCTACGAACGCCCTTGATCAGTCGGACTCACCTCGTCCCGCGGCGCCTGGTCCTCCGCTCGTGCTTTTGGCCACTGAGCCAGTTCCTGTGCCCGAATTCGCGCCCGCGGCTGTCCAGGGGCAGGGATCGCCTCCAGGCGGGAACTCACAGCCTCAGGCCTCGAACGTTAATGACCCCATGGTTCGCCTGTGGGAGGATGCGGTCAAGGAATATCAGGAGAGCGCGGGTGTCAATTTCTCTGTCGACCCTCTGCCCTTTTGTTCCGCGGCAGACATTGACGAGTATGTTCGTGGCCAAGAGGTGCAGTTTAAGGTCTTCCGCGATGATGGTCCGCAATGGCTGCGCGAGCGCCTGCTGCCAGTTGCGACCGTGCTAGCAAACCTTTGCGATGGCATTGGAAACTCGCTCGCATCCGTAAGCCTCAAATGCATGTATGGCGGTCCTGGTTGCTGACCGCGTTTCCCGCAGGCTTTTCCCCCGGGCCCAGTCATTTTCTCGGCGATTGGACTTCTACTCAAGGTGCATCGGTCGCTTTCTGGTGCGCGTACGATTGCTTAAAGAAGAGCTATGAGGCGTCAACCGTCGCTCACAACGAGTTTGAAGCGGTCTGTGACGCGTTCGACGAGATCAAGTCACGAATCTCCCTCATCAATAGCGTGATCGAAGGGCACACCCTCGTCCGGGAGGCCTCTGTTCAGCTCCTCGTCCAAGTCCTGAAAATCTTTGGTGCTGTGTCGAAGATGAGGAAGGCGGGTCGCTTTCGTAGGTCCCGTAGTGAGATCTGTATGATGGAGGCTTAATGCGCGTTCCAGGTGTGTGGCTGCAAGGTATACAAAGCGCAAAGCCGTTATCGGAGGCTTTGGCGAACTTGGGCAAGCTCGGAACGCGCCAGCACGAGAGGATCGCCGCTGTGACACTCGAAGTAGTTACAGAACTCGCCTCGAGTCTAGCCTGTGCGCAAAGTCATCATACATCGGTCTAACTTGCTGAACACATGTCCAGCGGGGCGTGACGATCGGACTACAGTATGCTTATGCATGGAGCGGGTAGCAAACCTTGCCCATGAGATACAAGGTATGATCTCGCGTATTGCCAGGTCGAAACATTACTGATTGACCTCCGCATAGCGAACGTAGAAGCGGGAAACGCCCAAGCTATCGAGGAGATCCACAAGAACAGGGAAATTGTAAGACTGTCAAAGGATGCTATCGTTAGGGCTTCGAGCGATATTGTAGCCATCAAAGGTATCCAAAACTCTGTTTGTAGTGAATTGAGGCGCGCTGCTGATGTTCTCGTGTTTGTCAGATACTGCGGCTATTGACAAGATCCTGGAATGGCTCCAGTATCGTGACTCATCCGAGAAGTTGAGTAGATTACTGAACGACCGCGTCCCCTCTACCGGAATGTGGTTCCTCAATGGTCGCGCATTCGCTGATTTCAAGAAGGGCACCGTAACGTCGCTATTGCTACATGGAACAGGTAATGCTCTGTATGTTCGCAGAATTTTCCCAACTGATTTGATTTTAGCTGGCTGCGGTAAAAGCACTATGATGTGAGTAATGACCTAGCGTCAGAGCAGTGGCTATTGGTAACGCCTGACGCCTACCAGTGCCGCTGCTTTTCAAGATCTCCAGCATTATTGCGGGTCCCACCGTAGGGATGCTATCGTGCTCGTCTATTTCTTCGATATCACGAATCGCGCAGATCGACAAACAGCGGACTCGCTCATCTCGTCATTTCTCTGCCAACTGGCCTTGCGGAGCTCAGACACGGCTACTTTTCTGCTCGCGCACCGTCTCAAAGCAATGATGCGCGGGCACACGACTCTGGAAGAAAAGAAAGACCTACTTTCAGGGCTACTTCGCTCGCGACGCTCCCCAATCTACGTTCTTGTCGATGCGCTTGACGAAAGCGATATGACAAAGATCCTCCCAATTCTGCGATGGTTGCAAAGCCACCAGGCAACTTCGCTCCTGATAACGGCTCGTGCCCTTGACGGTCGAGCAGCCCTACGCGCCTCCGTAATCCACATGGATGGCGTTCACGACGACGTGTCCATATTAATTGACAACGCTATGAGGAAGCCTGATGGTTTACTCGCTGGAGTCGCGGAATCTACGGGCCTGCGCCGCACTTTACGGCATGGAGCTGGTGGGAAGTGAGTGACCATGTGGTCGATTAATCTGTTGTAATGCTGATTATATCCTCAAGCCTCAGATGGGTGTCACTCATCATTGACGAGCTAGCACCTGTGGCCGAGAGTCCCTCAGACGTCATCCTTCTTCTCAAGTACCTTCCGCAGTCCCTTGAAGACGTATATATGCAGCGCCTAAACTCCATCAAACCTCCCCTGCGACGCAAAGTGAAGATCTTGCTCGCGTGGCTCATCACTCGCGGGGCGCCCATGAGTCTGACAGCCTTCGCGCAGCTGCAGGCCTTTATATATCCTGCGGGATGTGACATGCCGATCTACGACAGCTCACTAGTGCCGTCTATGCAGTCCGCGGGAAGGGCGGTCGACTCAATGTTTATCACCGTAAACACTGGCAGCAATCTCGTCTCCGTCGCACACGCGTCCGTGCAACAGTTCTTTCAGAATTTACCACCAGCGTCGCCATTTTACATCAGGCAGGCTGATCACGCACTCATGGCTCGCATGTGCCTTGCGTATGTCGCTGCCTGCGCCAAGCTTGCCGAGCGAGAACAACCCGCCGTCACGCTTACTGATGTGCTCGTGCGCGACGAGGGGAGAATCACAGTTCAGATGCCCCCCTTTACGGAGTTCATGGCAGAAAGGCAAGCTTCCGAGCCTTGGTATCACAATTGGGTCGCCAGCATCGAGCGGGCAGGAGATGACCACTATCGCTCTCTCGAGCAAGACGTAATTCACACATTCGACGGACTGAGACGTCACCGACAAGTGGTGGATTGTCTTACTGCCAATACACGCCGCGCGTGCCTCCGAGGGAACGAACGCCTGGTCGAGCTTCTTCTCGATGTAGGAAGCCGCATGCAGAACACGGGCTCTTCGGACGACGATTTGAGCCAGTCTATGCTCGAGTGGGCGGCGTCCCGAGGACTTATCAGGATCTGTCGTCTGCTCATTGACCGAGGAGCAGACATTGACCCTCTAGGCGGTCCAAGTCCGCTCTGTAGCGCTGCAGTTCAGGGCCACGCAGAGATCGTACGGCTATTGCTCGACCAGCCGCGACGTTTGGACATAGAAGGGCACGATAGTTGGACGCCCCTTCATGAGGCGTGCCAAAAAGGATATTTCGAAACAGCGAGCGTGCTTGTCTCTCGGGGCGCAAATGTCAACGCTCTGACGCCCTGTGGTCGAACGCCGCTGCATCTGGCTTGCTCTGGCGTCTGCGATGGCAGCTTGGGATTGGTGAAGCTGCTTCTTGATCAGCCGGGGGTGATCATCGACGCCTTCGCTTCCCCATGCGGAACTCCCTTGCACTGTGCGGTATGGCATCGTAGCAGCAAGACCGCCGCCTTGCTCCTCGCCCGAGGCGCCGATGTCAATGCCACGATGTCATATCCCGCCGACGGTCGAATTCTCAGCGGTGCGATCAAAAGAGTTGACCTCGATGCGCCAACAAGAGAAATTCTCGCTGTTTATGGTGGAATGATAGTGGAGCTATTGACGCGTCCACCGACAAGGTAAGCAATGTGTGTTCTCAGAATCTTTGATCCCTAACATCCCAGATAGCATCTTGTATATTCATCAGTCACCAAGAGTCCCCGATCTTTGTGGAAGAACAGATCTTACCCCCCTTCACCTCGCCTGTCGGATAAATTGCCCTCAGTCTGTCAGTCTTCTATGCGATGCAGGAGCGAACAGAGAGGCTCGGGATTCTTCCTTAGAGTATGCCGCGCTCGCCGGCAGCGAGGAAGCATTGCGCACCCTTCTTCGCTGTGGCGCCAACCCAAGGTCTCGTGCAAGCAACGGAATCGACGTGCTGAATATGATCAATTCCGGAATGGCTTGGTTCAACAACGCGGCGAAAGAGGAACGGATCCGTGAGATGCTGCTGCGGGCTGGAGCGACGAAGGATACGCCAGAAGTCGATGCGCCGTCGTCTTCTGGGGACAAGATTGGGGCGCTACGCAACGAGTTGCCCTTCGCCGACTGCGAGAGAGACGAGCGGACTGTCGAAGAGAGCGCAGAGGGTTGTGGAGAAAAGGGCGCGTGACGCCTCGGTGAGCCAGCCACTCACTGACATACACCGGTAAAGGTCGAACTAGAGATATTGAATTCCGCCACCCACTCGCGTGTTGACATACCTCTAGGGGTGACCCGGCTGGACGGAGAGAAGGGTGTGGATCGATGACGTGGAAGACCGCCTCTGCGAAGTTAGTCATTTCCCGCGCTTGAAATTGTACCCCTATACGGACAACGTCTGTGATATATATGCCGGGCGTACTGTGATATGCCTTGAGTATCGTGTTGATTCGGCTCACCCGCTTGCCTCACCTTCCTTCCCACCTCCCACCCTTCCTTCCATCCATCCCTTCCTCCTTCCTCCTTCCACCTTATCCTCCTTACTCGCCCCCAACCCTCCTCGCACCTTTTTCTATCCTCCTCCACATATCTGACCCCGGACGCACCCGCCTTACGCACTTCGCTCATCGTCATGGGCCGCCGCTTCCACTCGACGGTCGACCTCATCGGAGGATGCGAACACCCACGACCAACGAAGGGGGGAGGCGAACCTCATACGCTCGTTGGGAGAACCTCCTACGCTCGTGGTTGTCAGGGAGCGAGTCGAGATTGACTCCGTCGTCGTAGCCAAGCGAGCAGAGGTCGACGGTCGTCTTCGGAGTCAAGTCAACGCGTCGACGGCTTGACTAGATCGTTGTTGGGGGGGAAGGAGCGAGCGGAGAGCGAGTGCGGAGGCCGACCTCGTCAGAAAGCGCGCGGAGGTCGACGCTCGTCGACGGTCTCCCTCGTTGTTGTCGTTGGAGGAGGAGGAGAGCGACGGTCGACCTCGTCGACGGAGGAGGCGAGCGAGCCAGAGATCGGCCTCGTCGTTGTTGCTGGAGAGCGAGTCGATGCTACCTCCGTCGGCCCGGGAAGCGTCGAGCGAGGGGAGGTTAACCTCGACACTCGTCGGCAGAGGCGAGTCAACTACGTCGCAGGAGTCAAGCGAGCCGGACCTCGACGCTGGACGCTCGACCTGCGTCATCCGTCGTCAGCTTAGCTCTTCCCCAGCCAAGGCGAGCAGAGAAGGAGGCAAGTGGAGTTCAACCTCGACCTCCGCATCGCCAGAACCTATGGCCGACCTCGTCGGAGAGCGAGCGCGCGTCGACCTCGTCCCGAGACGCGCGCGAAAGGCCAGCACTTGCCTGCACTGATAATTTGCTGGCCGTCTCTTTCGCCCAAGTGCGTGCCTCTGCCATTGTCCTTCACCCATTTCTCTTCTCTTCGTTTTCAACGCGCGCTCGGGCTATCCATCCTCCCCTACCTAGCTCTCTCTCATTACCCCTCCTCGCTGATCGCTTCGGCGATCCATCCTTGACGGTTCCCCCGCTATCCTTCCTCAATGCTATCCATTCTCGGCACGGTATCCGGCTACCCCGCATACTCACTCACCCTCAGCGTCATAGGCGTCCCTGTCCACTCCTTCCTCGAACAATTCCCCTCTCCTTGTTGACTGTTCTTCTTCTCCTCCTTTGCTCGATCGTTTCACGTCCTTTGCTCGATCGTTTCTCCTCCCTTCCTCGACCACTCACCTCGACCCGACGTAGAAGAGCCATTTCGCGCGCGCAGGCCGGAGGACATGGAGAAAGAATAAGAGGTGCGAGTTCGACGGCTTTGGGAAAATCACGGAAGTATAATTTGCTCCCGAGGAGCACCAGGATCAGCCTCCGTGATGGCGGCCGTCAAGCAAGGACAAACATCGCGCGTCCTTGCCTTCTCCCGTCATGTCTCGCAGGCGCCAGGACGACCCCGCGCGCGATGCCCGTGTGCGAGGCTTTCTCGCGGATGTGCTGGCTGCGCACGATGCTGGTGACCGCGAGGTTACGCGCGATGCTGGTCTGGCTGCGCTCGACGCTGGTGACCGCGAGGCCGCGTGCGAATACGTCCTGGACACGTCGGGCCTCCGCGAATTCGCAGGCGCGGAGTCGTTCATCAGGGAGAGCGCCGAGTTCGAACTGAAGTACCTCCCCGAAGTCCTGCGCGATGACATGCAGCTGAGCGGCGGCTGCTATACGAACCAGTGAGTGATAGCGTCTTGTGATTTATCGTCGAGCGCCGTCTTCCTGACCGTCGAAAGCCGTTGCCCTGACCGTCGAAGGCTGTCATCCTAACCGTTGAGCGCCATCGTCCTGACCCACTCTCGTCCAGCTTGCGCGACGAGGCCGGCGACTGGCTTGTATGGGGCGCGGTCCTGGTCGCCGCCCAGCACGAGCTCGAGGTACGCTACGCGGACTTTCGACGGTGCGCGCGGTGGACGCCCACGCCTGTGTACTCCTTTGAGTCGCGCCTCATCCGATACTCCACGAGGGAGGATGAGCGCGCGGTTGTTCTGCGCCTGCGCGACGCCCTACGGCGGAGCATAGAGGCTCTCGAGCGCGTCCCGAAGGTGCGGTCTTCCCCCGTGACGCGCGCGACCCTCGTCCTCACCTTGTTCTGGGGGAACAGCCCAGGACCGCGATCCTTGGCCCCATCCCATTGCGGTCGGACTCGCTTCCTCTCCTGGCCACGCGCATAGTCTACGAGCTGCACACGGTTGTTGTACCCACACTATGCGTTGCATACCTCGGCGAACTGGAGGACTTGGTTGCGTACATGGCGGAGCTGCATACGGGTATCTGGGTCGTCGCCGTCCTCGCGCTGTTCGTGTGCATGTATGCATGGTATCGCTCTTGTGGAAGTAAGTCGTGCTCTCGTGTCCGCGCTCAAGCATGCCTCTGACGCGCGACAGCGTCGCGGCCAGCGGATAGGGCGACGCGATATATAGTGAGGATGCGGCAGAGATCACGCCAGGGGCCCCTGCTATGGAAGACGCTGTTGGCGCTGACGGGGAGGGTTGTGGATGAGGAGGACATGGACGAGACCGTCGTGGGGAATATACGCCGGATATTCGACCTGGTGGACACGCGCATGATGGTGAGCATCTGCGACGGTTTGGCACCTTGGGCGCATGTGTGACCCCATTCCCCTAGACGTATCAGAGGCCTTCTGGAGAGCCTTTCACGGGAAAGACGACTTTGGAGGCCATGCATGGGAACATGGTTTCTGTACCGAATGGCGAGAAGCTCATGGCGGAGATCGTAGCTCGCATCCGTCCCTTCGTTCAGACTGAGAGCGAGGTTGATCACGCTGTGAGTGATAGGGTCATCTACGCTCCGTGACTTGTCTCTCAACTCTGTCCGAAGAGCACCGAAGCCTCTGCCACTACAGCAAATCATCATCTCGAAGAACAGCGGCGAGCTGATCTGGGTGCGCACCTCTCGGACGCCTGCAACTATTTCGGCTTCCACGACCCGTTCTTCGAGATCCTCGGCCCGGCGGCGTACGCGGGGATATCGAGACTTGGGGTCCAGCCCGCGACGCGCTATGCCGACGAGCTCATCAAGTCCATCGACAACGCGGTCGACGCGCTCCGCGAACTGGGACCCGTCCCGGAGACTCTGCAGAAGTGCGTATCGCGTGCGGCGCGCTTGAATTCGCTCACTGACACGGGTATACATACATAGCTTCGTCCGCAATACGCATCTGCGCCTGGCCTGGATCGGCGGGATTGGGTACGCGCAGACGGATATTGTGGCGCAGATCGAGGTGTATCGGCGTGGTGCGTGCGCTTTTCTGTTCTGCCCGCCGTTAAGACTCATCGGGATACAGAGCCCACGCGCGAGAAGCTGCAGGATCTGCGGAAGATTCTTGATCACTATCTGAGTGCTCTGGCCGCGGATCCTCCGCCTTCCTTTGTGAGATTGCCGGGGCTCTATGTAGTCTCTCCAGCTCTTCGCTCAATCCCAGTTTTGACAGCGCGACCTGCTCAACGCCAACCTGAGCAAGAATGACAGGACGAGGCTCATTCTTCGGGAGATGTCCAAGATCTGTTGCTTTACACTAGGCTGCCTCCCGCTCCTCGTCATGATGAAGTTGGCCAACAGCAAGCCCGAAGTCATCCTCGGCGTGGTGTACACTTCGTTTTTGAAGACGGTGGTCAGCCCGTATGGACTCGCGGCGCTGGAGGGGCTGTACGACTGGGCCACCGGGTGTATGTGGTGTTCGTTCTGTTGGTGCTGGGAGTTATGGGTGCTGACGGGAGTGATTTGACAGACCGGAGGAATGAGGAGGTGCATAAAGCGGCTAACGTCGCGGCGGACCTCGAGCGCCTCGCGCGGTACCACCTCATTGGCTGGCGGGCGCTGCAGGTAGCCATTGGCGGGTCGGAGGCGGACGATGCTATCGTGCGCGCGCTCATGAGTAGCGTGAGTGATGCCTGTCCTAGCCTCGCGTGCTGTCACTCACGCCCGCCCTGTGCATGTTGTCTCTCACGAACTCGCTCCGAACAACGCCGTCCGTGTCGTTCTTTTTTTTTTATCACGTTCATTCGATTTAGATCACGAGCGCCGCGAAGCCGTCCATCTTGGTCTCGCTCGTGGAGGCGCTGGATGGGAAGGTGGTGTACGGCGTCAAGCGGAAGGCGTATTCGCGGACAGACACCGTGCGCGCGATGGTCGACGGGCGCTATCCGGCTTTTGGGACAATGAATGACGGGCGGGGGAAGGTAGCGTGAGTTTTGGACGTGGTCGGGGACGTGGGTCTGGCACCGTGAGTCGGGGGCATGGGATCTGGCTTCGTGAGTGTATCGCGTGTTCTATTTGTTTCAAATCGTTACGGGTGTACAGTGTACTTGACTTGTGCGCCTCTTGGCCGTGTACTCTTGTTCTTCTACGTCTCCGCGGGAGTGCGTGCACGGAGTGGCTTCATTACGTTGAATCGAGGTAAGTGGTCGAGGAAGGGAGGAGAGGAGAAAAATTAATGAGCAGAGGGGAAGCGGTTAAGGAAGGGATGGACGGGGTCGCGGTAGGTTGCTTGTCAATGGTGGCCGCGATTTTTGACCTCATCTCCGGCCCTCGTCGAGCGTGTTCACTACGTGAACTCGGTTTCCTGCACTCCCCTATCGCACTGCATTTACTTCTGTCAGAATTTGGTGGATATTGTCGAGCTGCCGAGGCTCGACCATCGTCCGCCCTCGACCATCTCGGCTCTCAGTTTACTCGACTTCCGCGCCTCTTGGCCATGTACTCTTATTATTCTCTATCTCTCATTATTCCCCGTCTCTTTCCTCCGTCTCCGCAGTCGTGCGTGCGTGGAGTGGCTCTTTTGCGTGCATGGGGTGACTATTTTGCGCTGAGTCGCCGTGAACGGTAGACCACTCATGAGATTGAGCGTTGAGTCGAGGTGAACGGGGCGAGGGAGGATTGACGAGCAGAGGGGAAGCGGTCGAGGAAGGGGTGGACGGGATCGCGGCTGATTGCTTGTCGATGATTGCCGCAACCTCAGTGCCGGTGATTCGCGGCGGCGTCGTCATCGTCATCGTCGGAGTCCAAGTCCTCCCAACAAGCGACGTAGCACGCGCGCCGCCTACCAATGTAGCAGGCGCCCCGCCTAGTGACTAAGCACGCGTCCCATCCAATGAGCGACCTGGCACGCGTCCCCCGCTCAGCAACTCAGCACGCACGCACGAGTGAGCGGCGCGGGGGGCAGGTGAGGGAGTGGCGAGGAGGCGAGGGAGGGAAGTGCGGCTCTCGAAAGATGTGTTTCTGTATCAAAATGCTGGCCAGATTCGATGCGTCGATGGGGCGAGGGCGAGGGTTAGCTTCCTCTCAGCAGATGTAAATGCAGTGCGGTATGGGAATGTAAGACACCGAATTCACGTAGTGAACACGCTCGACGAGGGCCGGAGCGGTCACAAATCGTGGCCATCAGAGACAAGCAACCTACCGCGACCTCGTCCATCCTTTCCTTAAGCGCTTCCCCTCTGCTCATTGATTTTTCTCCTCTCCTCCCTTCCTCGACCTCTTACCTCGATTCAACGTATAAAAGCCACTCCGTGCACGCACTTCCGCGGAGACGTAGAAGAACAAGAGTACACGGCCAAGAGGCCCAGATGTGAAGTACATCTACAGCCGTAACGATTCGAGACAAATAGAATATGCGATACACTCACGGTGCCAGAACCCACGTCCCCAACTCGCGGAGCCTTCCCCCGCCCACGACTCACGCCGCCTTCCCCCGCCCGTCATTCCTTGTCCCAAAAGCCGGATAGCGTCCATCGACCATCGCGCGCACCGCGTCTGTCCGCAAATACGTCTTTCGCTTGACGCCGTACACCACCTTGCCGTCCAGCGCCTCCACGAGCGAGACCAAGATGGACGGCTTCGCGGCGCTCACGATCTAGAAAGAATGAACGTGATCAAAAAAAGAAGAACGACACGGACAGCGTTGTTCGGAGCGAGTTCGTAAGTGACAGCACGCGAGGCTAGGCCAGATATCACTCACGCTATCCATGAGCGCGCGCACGATAGCCTCGTCCGCCCCCGCCTCCGACCCGCCAATGGCCACCTGCAGCGCCCGCCAGCCGACGAGGTGGTACCGCGCGAGGCGCTCGAGGTCCGCAGCGACGTTAGCCGCTTTATGCACCTCCTCATTCCTCCGGTCTGTCAAATCACTCCCGTCAGCACCACATAACTCGCAGCACCAACAGAACGAATGGCACATACACCCGGTGGCCCAGTCGTACAGCCCCTCCAGCGCCGCGAGTCCATACGGGCTGACCACTGTCTTCAAAAACGAAGTGTACACCACGCCGAGGATGACTTCGGGCTTGCTGTTGGCCAACTTCATCATGACGAGGAGCGGGAGGCAGCCTAGTGTGAAGCAACAGATCTTGGACATCTCCCGAAGGATGAGCTTCGTCCTGTCATTCTTGCTCATGTTGGCGTTGAGCAGGTCGCGCTGTCAAAAGTGTAATTGAGCGAAGAGCTGGAGAGACGACACCCACGCAATCTCACAAAGGAAGGCGGAGGATCCGCGGCCAGAGCACTCAGATAGTGATCAAGAATCTTCTGCAGATCCTGCAGCTTCTCGCGCGTGGGCTCTGTATCCCGATGAGTCTTAAGCGCCCGCAGAACAGAGAAGCGCACGCACCACGCCGATACACCTCAATCTGCGCCACAATATCCGTCTGCGCGTACCCAATCCCGCCGATCCAGGCCAGGCGCAGATGCATGTTGCGGACGAAGCTGTGTACGTATGCCCGCGTCAGTGAACGCTTTCAAGCGCGCCGCACGTGATACGCACTTCTGCATAGTCTCCGGGATGGATCCCAGTTCGCGGAGCGCGTCGACCGCGTCGTCGATGGACTTGATGAGCTCGTCAGCATAGCGCGTCGCGGGCTGGACCCCAAGTCTCGCTATCCCCGCGTACGCCGCCGGGCCGAGGATCTCAAAGAACGGGTCGTGGAAGCCGAAATAGTCGCAGGCGTCCGAGAGGAGCGCACCCAGATCAGCTCGCCGCTGTTCTTCGAAATGATGATTTGCTGTAGTGGCAGAGGCTTCGGTGCTCTTCGGACAGAGTTGAGAAAGGAGTCGCGGAGCGTAGATGACCATATCACTCACAACGTGATCCGCGTCGGTTTCAGGCTGAACGAAGGGACGGATGCGAGCTACGATCTCCGCCATGAGCTTCTCGCCATTCGGTACAGAAACCATGCTCCCATGCATGGCCTCCAAAGTCGTCTTTCCCGGGAAAGGCTCTCCAGAAGGATGCTGATAGGGCTAAGGTAACGGGGTCAGGCATGCGCCCAAGATGCCGAACCTTTGCCATTGCTTACCATCATCCGCGTATCGACCAGGTCGAATATCCGGCGTATATTCCCCACGACGGTCTCGTCCATGTCCTCCTCATCCAGAATCCTCCCCGTCAGCGCCAACAGCGTCTTCCAAAGCAGGGGTTCCTGGCGAGATCTCTGCCGCAACTTCACTATATGTCGCGTCGCCCTTTCCGCTGGCCACGACGCTGTTGCGCGTCAGAGGCATGCTTAAAGCGCGGACACGAGAGCACGACTTACTTCCGCGAGAGCGATACCAGATGTACATGCACGCGGACAGCGCGAGGACGGCGACGACGAAGATACCCATACGCCGCTCCGCCATGTACGCAACCAAGTCCTCCAGTTCGCCGAGGGATGCAACGCATATCGTGGGCACAACGACCGTGTGCAGCTCGTATATTATGTGCACGGCCAGGAGAGGGAGCGAGCCCGACCGCAATGGGATGGGGCCAAGGTTCGCGGTCCTGGGCTGTTCCCCCCGAACAAGGTGAGGACGAGGGTCGCGCGCGTCACCGGGGGAGACCGCACCTTCGGGACGCGCTCGAGAGCCTCTATGCTCCGCCGTAGGGCGTCGCGCAGGCGCAGAACAACCGCGCGCTCATCCTGCCTCGTGAAGTGTCGGACGAGGAGCCACTCGAAGGGGTACACAGGCGTGGGCGTCCACCGCGCGCACCGTCGAAAGTCCGCGTAGCGCACCTCGAGCTCGTGCTGGGCGGCGACCAGGACCGCGCCCCACACGATCCGGTCGCAGGCCTCGTCACGTAAGCTGGAGGAGGGTGGGTCAGGACAATGGTGCTCAACAGTCAGGACGATGGCCTTCGACGGTCAGGACGATGGTCCTCGACGGTCAGGACGATGGCTCTCGACGGTCAGGAAGACGGCAGTCGATGGTCAGGAAGACGGCCCTCGACTATAAATCACAAGACGCCATCACTCACTGGTCCGTATAGCAGCCGCCGCTCAGCTGCATGTCGTCGCGCAGGACTTCGGGGAGGTACTTCAGTTCGAATCCGACGCTCTCCCGGATCAACGACTTCGCGCCTCCAAGTTTCCGGAGGCCCGACGTGTTCAGGACGTATTCGCACGCGGCCTCGCGGTCACCGGCATCGAGTGCAGCCAGAGCGGCGTCGCGCGCAGCCAGAGCGGCGTCGCGCGCAGCTAGAGTGGCGTCGCGCGCAGCCAGAGCGGCGTCGGGAGCAGCCAAACCAGCATCGCACACAGCCAGACCAGCATCGCGCCCAGCCTCCCGGTCACCAGCATCGCGCGAAGCCAAACCAGCATCGTGCGCGACCCCGCGGTCACTAGCATCGAACGCAGCCAGCACATCCGCGAGAAAGCCTCGCACACGGGCATCGTGCGCAGCGTCGTCCTGGCGCACAATCGACATGATGGGAGAAGGCAAGGACGCGCGGTGTTTTTCCCTGCTTGGGACGCGCGGTGCTTATCCTCGCTTGGGACACACGGTGTTTGTCCTCGCTTGGGACGCGCGATGTTTATCCTCGCTTGGGACGCGGTGTTTATCCTTGCTTGACGGCCGCCATCACGGAGTCTGATCCTGCTGCTCCTCGGGAGCGAATTCTATTTCCGTGATGTTCCCCCCCAAAGACGTCGAACTGGCACCTCTTGTACTTGCTCCATGTGCGCGCGCGAAGTGGCACTTTTGCGTCGAGTCGAGGTAGTAAGCGGTCGAGTCGAGGCAAGCCGGTCGAGGAAGGGAGGAGGAACGATCGAGCGAGGGAGGAGACACGATCGAGCAAGGGAGGAGGAACGATCGAGCAAGGGAGGAGAAACGATCGAGCAAGGGAGGAGAAACGATCACGCAAGGGAGGAAAAACGATCGAGCGAGGGAGAAGAAACGATCGAGTGAGGGAGGAGACACGATCGAGCGAGGGAGGAGAAACGATCGAGCGAGGGAGGAGAAGAAGAACACTCAACGAGGAGAGGGAATTTGTTCGAGGAAGGAGTGGACGAGCCACCAGCGAGGCTGTACATCGGTGGTCGGGAACGCGGGGTAGCTGGATCCCGCGACGAGGAAGGATAGCCAGATCCCGCGACGAGGAAGGATAGCCAGATCCCGCGACGAGGAAGGATAGCGGAAGAGATGTCGACGATGGATCGTCGCACCCATCCTCAATGTGGAAGCGTACTCCCTCGAAGATGGATCATCGCGTACTCCCTCGAAGATGGATCATCACGTACTCCCTCGAAGATGTCCGCACCACGACGGAGCAAATCCTGCAGCGCGTCAAGAACAGCGGGCGTGATCTCGCGACTGCACCCGTCGGGGCCAAAAGCGACTGCACCAGTCGAGGCCAAAAGCGACTGCACCAGTCGAGGCCAAAAGCGACTGCACCAGCCAGGGCCAAAAGCGACTGCACCAGTCGGGGCCAAAAGCGACCGAAATGTCCATGCTCTGCTGCCAACGGACTCGTTCCCAGTGGGTATGTAGCGATTGGGAGAGAATAATTCATCGAGGGAGAGAATCATCCATTTCGTCCTCGTCTCTCGACCCCGTCCTCCTCGTCTTCGTCATTGGCGTCCTCGTCCTCGTCGAAGTCGAGGAGTCGGCGAAGTCGCTCGTCGCTCGTCGGAGTCGTCGTCGTCACTCGTCCTCGTCAAAGTCGGAGAAGGCGTCATCCTCGGCGAGTCGGCGGCGGAGTCGTCCTCGTCCTCGTCGCCGTCTTCATCCTCGTCGGAGTCGAAGTCGCTCGTCGGCGGCGTCGGCGGAGTCGTCGTCGGTCGTCGGCGGCGGAGTCAAGGCGGAGTCGCCGTCGTCGGCGTCGAAGTCGTCACTCGTCGTCGGCGTCGGAGGAGTCGGCGGAGTCGAGTCGAGGAGTCGAAGTCGGAGGCAGGTGGAGGAGGCGGCGTCGGCGGAGGAGGAGGAAGGAGGACGGGGTGGAGGAGGAGGTGAGGGAGAAGGAGGAGGAGCTGGCGGCGAGTCGGCAGGAGGAGTCGGTGGTGGAGTCGGAGTCAAGGACTCGGGACGGAGGAGGTGGAGGAGGCGGCCGCGGCGGAGGAGGTGGTCGTGGGTCGACGGCGTCTTCGTCTTCGTCTTCGTCCTCGTCATCGTCACCGTCATTGCTCGCCGTCGGAGGAGTCGGCGGAGGAGGAAGAGGAGTCAAGTCGATGTTGGAGTCGAAGTCGAGGAGGAGTCGAGGTCGTCGGCGAGTCGGTGGTGGAGGCGGAGGAGTCGGCGTCTTCGTCGGCGGAGGCGGAGGAGGAGGAAGAGGAGTCGGGAGTCGGGAGTCGTCGTCCTCGTCGTCGGCGGAGTCAGAGTCAAGGAGTCGAGGAGGAGGAGTCGGCGTTGAAGTCGGAGGCAGGAGTCGAGGAGGAGTCGAGGCGGCGGAGATGGTAGTGGAGGAGTTGGAGGTGGGGGTAGAGAAGGCGGAGTCGGAGGAGGAGGAAGGGTGGTGGTGGAGGCGTCGGCAGAGTCGGCGGAGTCGAAGTCGAAGTCGAAGTCGGAGTCGGCGAAGTCGTCGTCAGTGGACGTCAGGTCGGCGGAGGCGGAGGAAGAGACGGAGTCGGAGGAGTCAAGGAGTCGGAGGAGGTGAAGGAGTCTAGGCAGGAGGAGTCGAGGCGGAGTCGGCGAGTCGGTGGAGTCGGGCGAGGTGGAGGAGGTGGGGCTAGAGGAGGAGGAGGAGGGCGGATGGGCCGGCGCGCGCGTAAGCTAGGCAGAGGGGCGACGCGGTCGGCGCGGCCGGGGGAGGGGAGAAGGGCGGATGGGCCGAGCGACGCGGGCGCGCACGTACGCTCAGCACAGACGCGTACGCCCTCGCGGTCGGCACAGACGCGTCCTCGTGCTCACCGTCGGCAGCGGCTCGTCATCGTGCCCTCGCGGTCAGCACAAACGCGTGCTCGCCCTCGCGGTCGGCATAAACGCGTACGCGCCCTCGCGGTCGGTCAGGACGTGTGCGCGCCCTCACACTCAGCATAAACGCGTACGCCCTCGCGGTCAGGACGCGACGCGCGTTCACTGCCCTTTCTCCCCTCCCACACCCCTCCCTCTCCCCTTTCCCACCTCCCACACCTCCCCACACTCCCCACACCCTCTCCCCACACCCTCCCCCTAATCCCCCACACCACACCCCACCTGACCTCCACTCCACCCCACCCACCTGCCCATTCCCCCTCACGGCGGTCGGCAAAGGCGCGCGCCCTCACGGTAAGGACGCGCGCGCCCTCGCGGTCGGTAAGGGCGCGCGCGTGCTCGCGGTCGGTCGGCATAAACGCGTGCGCCCTCGCGGTCAGCACAGACGCGGTCGCATGCCCTCGCGGTCAGAACAGACGCGTACGCGTCCACGGTCAGCACAGACGCGTGCGCGCCCTCACGGTAGGCATAGACGCGTACGCGCGCCCACCCATCTATCGACGCAGCGCGCGTCCCACCCATCTATCGCCGTAGCACGCGCGCGTCCCGCGTATCGACCCAGCGAGCGTCCCACCTATCGACCTCGCATGCGCCCCGCCCCATCTAACGACCCAGCGAGCGTCCCACTCAGCGCCGTAGGCACACGCGCCCCACCCGTCTATCAAGCTGGCACGCGCCCAGACTGTGAGCGTCGTGGGGGGCGGGAGAGGCGAGGGGCGGGTGGAGGGAATGAAGGGGGTGGGAGGTGGGGGAAAGGGTGTAGGGGGAGGTGGTGGTGGAGGGGAGAAGGGGAGAAGGGTGTAGGGAAGGGTGTAGGGAAGGGAGGGTGGAGGGGGAGGGAGGGAAGGGGGAGGCGAGGGTGGGTGGGGTAGGGTGGGGAAGGCAGGAAGGGTGGGAGGTAAGGGAAGGCAGGGTGGGTGGGAAGGTGGGAGGGGGAGGGTGGAGAGGGGGAGGCGTGGGGGGGAATGGGTGGAGTGGGAGGGTGGGAGAGGGAGGTGGTGGAGGGTGGAGAAGAGGAGGTGCGGAGAGGTGTGGGAGGAATGGGAGTGTAGGAGGGAAGGTGGGGGAGGGAGGGGGAAGGAAGGGGACTTGAGCTGAGCCGGGCAGACGAGGCGTGTTGTGCTGTAAAGAAGATTACGCGCGGCGGTCGAGACGAGACAAGGCGCTGTCCGTTGCGCAGACTAAGAACGGGTGGCGGCTGAGCAGACGAGAAACGCGCGGCAGTCGAGGTGTGGGCAGGAAAGCGGTGCGAGGCGGTGATGTGCCGGGGTGGGGCGCGCGCGCGAGCTTGGGCGACGACGGTTGTGGGAGTGACCAAGGACGGCTGTGGAACTGATCAAGGACGGATGCCGGAGCGATCAAGGACGACTGTGGGAGTAATCAAGGACGGTTGTGGGAGTGATCAACGACGGCTGGGGGAGTGAGCGCGGCTGAGAGAGAGCGGGAGCGATTGATGCCGCTGCGATGGCGAGAGTGATCGACCACGCTGCAAGCCCGATCGACCACGACTCCAAGCCTGACCAACCACGACTCCAAGTCCAATCGACCACGACGGCGAGAGCGACCAGCCGCGCTGGGGACGTGGCGCGCTCGGATGGAGGGTCGACGGCGGGCTCATGACTGACGTCGACGGAGGACGTACCACTCAGGTCGTAAGAGGACAACCCTCCCTAAGAGGAGATAGCACTCACGCCCTCAGCGCACATAACCCTCAGCCGCACAGCTGCCATACCGCCCCAGCACTCTGATCGACAGCAGGCGACGCGCCCACGTGCCAGGTTCCGGAACCATGACACGCGTCATCGGCCGTCTCCGGTGACGACGTTGCCGAATCGCACGCTCTTTCATCCTCTCTCACTCTCTTGCACCCTCTCGCTTATTCTCCCACTCTTGCTTACTCTCTAACCCACCCGCTGACTCTAACCCTCTCACCCTGCCGCTCACTCTCACGATCCCGCCTCTCACTCCCACCCTCCCACCTCTCACTCTCTCACAATCCTCCCTATTCCCTTCACTCGCCCCCTGCTTACTCGCGCCCCGTTCGTCCCTTCGCTCACCAACCCTAACCACATTGCCCTCCCCTGTCTCTTTGCTCGCCCTCGTCCCTTCGTTGCCGTGACCGATGCCGCCGTTCTCTCCTGCCTCGACGTCTCCGTTCCCTCCTCCATCGATGCCTCCGTTCCCTCTTGCATCGATGCCTCTGTTCCCTCCTCCATCGACGTCTCCCTTCCCTTGTCCAGCGACGCCCCCGCACCCACATCTCCATCAACACCCACCACACAACATCGCTCCTGAGTGCAGCGTTGTTTCGTTCTATGAACGTGTTTCGTTACATGAGCGTGTTGCGTTCTATGGGCGCCGCTTCGTTCTATGAGCGAGTTGCGTTCTATGAGCGAGTTGCGTTCTATGAGCGCTATATCGAGCTGCACAACACCGCTACCAAGCCGCACAACCCGCTACTTATCGACCTTGGGGGCGCGCATGTACTCAGTAGTCATAAGCCTCATGTATCGGCCATAAACTTCATGTATCGGTCATAGCTTAAGACTCGTGTGTCGGTCATATGCTTCATGTATCGCCCATAAGCCTCATGTATCGGTCATAAGCCTCTGCCGTATGCCCCCCTCACCACCTCCCCCCATCTCCCACTTGCACCTCCCACCTCGTCGTCCTCACCCCCTCACCACCTCCCCTTCCTCCCATCCCCTTCCTCCCCCTACCCCCCCACTCGCACCCCTTCCTCCTCCTCCACCCCACCTCCTTCCCCATCCCCTCACACCCCCTCCCCTTCCACACACCTCCCCCTCCCTTCCTCGCCCTCCCTTCCTCCACCCCACCTTCCTCTCCCCCCACCTTGTCTTACCCCCCTTCTCCCCCTTCCCCCCTCCCCTTCCTCGCACTCGCAAGCGGAGCCAAACCACCGTCCGGACTCGCACTCGCAAGCGGAGCCAAACCGCGTGGTGGGGTGTGAGAGGGGTGGGAGGGAAGGAGGAGGGGGTGAGGTACGGGTGGAGCCAAGCCAAACAGCGCCGTCCGCGCAGCGCCCCATGCGGGTGAGAGAGGAGGTGGGAGGAAGGGGAGGAGGGGCGAGGGAAGGAGGGAGGAGATGGGGGGGAAGGGTGGAAGAGGGTGAGGGGGGTGAGGTGCGGGGAGGTGGAAGGGGGGGGGGAGGCGAGAGGGGGGTGCCAGACCGCCCCTCACCCCAGCACACGCCCCGGCACGCGCCCCCTCACCAAGCACGCGCCCCAGTACGCGCCCCCTACCCACCCACCCCGCCCTCCTCGCGCGTCCCTCCCGTCGCCTCTCTCGCACCTCTCCCTTTTTTGCTCTCCTGCCTCTCTCGCACCTCATCCTCGCCCACCCTCAGCTCCACCCTACTCGCCCATCCCCCCACCCCACCCGCGTGCGCGACCGAGCGAGCGCGCATCGCTGAGGCGCTGCCTGCGTGAGCGAGGGGCGTCGCCGAGGACCTGGGCGAGTGAGGGTGCGTCGCGCGCCGGGCTGGGCGACCGAGTGGGCGTCGCGCGCCCACCGGCGTGCGCGCGCGAGGGCGCGTCGCCCTCGGTCACTCGCTCCCTCGCACAGCGCACCTCCCCATGTCCCAATTTCTTCTCCGCTCGTCCCTCTCTTGTCGCATAGCACTTCGCCCTCCCCCAATCGTCCTCAACTTTCCTCTCCCGTCGCCCCTCCCCACCCTCGCCGCCTATCTCCCCGCTCCCCCTCCCCTCTCACCCTGCTCTTCCCTCCCTCACCCTGCTCTTCCCTCTCGTCGCACTTCCCTTCCCACCTCAACCTCCCGTCCCTCCCCCCCCTCCCCCAACCCTCCCTCACCCTCCCCCATCCACCTGCTCGCCCTCGCTCCTCCTCGCCCTCCCCCTCACTCCCCTCGCTCTTTCTCCCTCCGCTCACTTTCCGCCCCTCACTCCCCTCCCCAGATCCCCTCACTCGCACTTCCGTCGCCTCTTGGCCCAATGCGCATGGCTCGTCGGCATCCCTCCCTCCTAGCGCGCTGAGCTCCCTCGACCGGGGCGCGCCGGCGAGCTCCCTCGACCCTGGGGCGTCGCCAGAGCTCCCTCGACCGGGGAGTCGCAGGGCTCCCTCGACCCACGGTACGTCGCCGAGCTCCCTCGACCCAGAGCGCCGAGGATTTGGGGTGAGCGCGTCGGGCTCCCTCGACCGAGGCGGCGTTGCAGGGCTCCCTCGACCGAGCGAGCACAGACGCTGGACTCGCGCGACCCAGGTTGCGTCGCCTCCCTCGACCCACGGTGCGTCGCTCGCACTTCCCTCTCAGCCCGCCGTGCTCCCCTTACTGAAGGCGCATCGCCTAGCTCCCGCAACCAACCCATCTCTGGGCCGTCCGCGCAGCGCACCATGTGGGGAGAGAGGTGCGGGTCGTGTCGTTGAGCGAAAGAGTGGAGGAGAGGGAGGAGGAAGAGGAGGGGAGGGAAAGGGCGAGAGAAGGGCAAGAGGGAGGAGGAAGGAAGATGAAAGGCGAGAGCGAGGCACGGTGGTAAGGGACGTGCGAGGAGGGGAGGTGCGAGGAGAGGGGAGGGCGAGCGAGTGAAGGCGACGAGAGGGGAGGGTGAGGAGGGAGCGAGGGGAGGGAGGAGTGGCGAACGAAGGAATGGAAGAACGAGGGCGCATTGCCGGCGGAAGCGGGGGTCGAGCGAGGAGCGAGCCAGCACGTGGTGGGTGCGAGCTGGGTGCGAGCTGTGGATGCGAGCTAGGCGCGAGGGAAGGAAGGGAAGCGCGAGGGAAGGGAAGGGCGAGGTGAGGCGCTGGGGTGAGGGTGAAGCAAGGGGTGGTGAGGGACGTGCGAGAAGGAGTGGAAGAGCGAGAGAGGGAGGGTGCGTCGCTTGCCGAGGCGCTGGGTGCGTCGCCGGGCTCCCCCGACCGTCCCCGTCGCCAGGCTCCCCCGACAAACGGTGCGCCGCTCGCCGGGCTCCCTCCTCTCAGCGCGCCGGGCGCATTCGACCGGGGGCGCGTCGCTCGTTCTCCCTCGACCCAGGATGCGTCGCTCGCCAGGCTCCTCGACCCAGGATGCGTCGCTGGGGTGAGCGCGTCGCCTCGCCGAGCTGGGCTGGGCGACCGACTGGGGGCGTCGCCGGGCTCCCCCGACCCAGGATGCGTCTCTGGCGAGATGGGCCCCCTCGATCAGCCCAGGGTGCGTCGCTGGCGAGGTGCGAGAGAGGGAGCGATGGGGCGCAACGAGCAAGGACGAGCGAGGGGGCGCAGCGAGCAAGGCCGAGCAAGGGCCGTGGTGCGAGGGATGAGGTGGAAGGGGGAGCTGTGCGAGCGAGGACGAGGAGGAGAGGTGCAAGGAGAGGGCGAGGAGGAGAGGTGTGAGGAGGAGGGAGGAGGAGGGAGGAGGAGGGGAGAGGGGAGCGCTGAGGAGGGCGGGTGGTGGAGGAGAAGGAGGCGAGATGCGAGAGAGGTGGGAAGGGTGGGAAGAGGTGGGCGAGGAGGGGAGGAATGGAAGGGCTAGCGAGGGGAGGGGTGCGAGGGGAGACGAAGGCAATGAGAGGGGAGGGAGGGCGAGCGCCCCCACCCAGTGGCCCCTTCCCTCGAAAGGGGATTCATCCACGCACCCCCTCCCCTCGACATGGCGCCCCCCTCCTCTCGATGAGCGCCCCCCTCCCCTCCTCTCGATATGGCGCCCCCCTCCTCTCGATGAGCGCCCATTCCCCGCACCGAACGAGCGCCCCCGCCCGTCGATGACCGCCCATTCCCCTCACCGAACGAGCGGTCCAACAAGCGATCTGTCCGCGCAGCGTCCCATGCGGGGGGATGGCGAGCTGGCGAGTTACGGAAGAGCAAGAGAAGGGTATGGGTGTGGAAGAGAGAAGAAGGGCGAGAGGGTGTGGAAGAGAGAAGAAGGGTATGTGTGTGGAAGAGAGAAGAAGGGCGAGGGGGTGTGAGGGGTGAGGGCGGGGTGGTAGGTATGGGTGAGGGCGGGGTGGTAGGTATGGGTGAGGGCAGGGGAGGGAGGTGGTTGAGGGGTAGGCAGGTGGTTGAAGGGGGGGGCGGGGGTGGAAGGGGTGGAAGGGGGAGGGGGTGCGAGGAAGTGAGGGGGATGTGCGGGCGAGGACGTGGGGGAGAGGGCGCGCGAGAACGAGGCTCCGACTCAGGGACGCATCGCTCGCCGACAACCCTCGACCGAGGGCGTCGCCCGCCGAGGCGCGGTGGTGAGGGACGTGCGAGTGGGTGAAGGCGACGAGAGGGGAGAGCGAGGGTGCGTCGCTGGCGAGCTGCGGAAGAGCGATGGTGCGTCGCTGGCGAGCTGAGCGAGCTGCGTCCTCGCTCGCGGGGAGAGGGGAGAGAGAAGCGCGAGGTGCGGATGAGCGAGGGGACGCGTCGTTGAGCGGAGGGCGAGGAGGAGAGGTGGGGAGCGAGAGCGAGCGAGGCGCGGTGGTGAGGGACGTGCGAGTGGGTGAAGGCGACGAGGGGAGAGGAGAGAGAGAAGCGCGAGGAGGGAGGGTGCGAGGATGCGAGCGGGGGGGGGGGGGGCGATGGAGGAGGGTGTGGGTGGTTGAAGGGCGAGCGAGGACGAGGTGAGTGAGGACGAGGCGAGCTCCCTCGACCCGGGGTGCGTCGCTCGCCGACATCCCTCTCAGCGCGACCGAAGGCGCATCGCCAGCGAAAGCGAGGACATCGCTCGCTGAGCTGAGCGAGGGGGAGAAGGGGGTATGGGAGGAGAAGGGGGGGGTATGGGAGGACGAGGACGCGTCGTTGAGCGAAGGCAGGCAGGTGTGGGAGAGAATGCAGAGGTAGGTGTGGGAGAGAATGCAGAGTGGGAGAGGGGACGCGTCGTTGAACGAAGGAATGGAAGAACGAGGGCTGAGGGGGAGGCTCGAAGGGGGAGGGGATGGGGAAGTGGTGTGGGTGGGGTGCGAGGGGAATGGAGGAGGTGGGGTGATGAAGGTGGAGGTGAGGATAAGGGACGAGCGACCGAGGAGGGGAGGGGAGGTGAGGGCGGCGAGCGCCCCCACCCAGTTCCCCCTTCCCTCGAAAGGGGATCCATCCACGCACCCCCTCTCCTCTACATGGCGCCCCCCTCCCCTCGATGAGCGCCCATTCCCCTCTACATGGCGCCCCCTCCCTCTCGATGAGCGGCCCCCGCCCGTCGATGAACGCCCATTCCCCGCACCGAACGAGCGCCCCCGAAAAACGATCGTCCCATGCGGGGGGAGGGGGAGGAGGTTTGTGTGTGGAAGAGAGAAGAAGGGTATGGGTGTGGAAGAGAGAAGAAGGGTATGGGTGTGGAAGAGAGAAGAAGGGCGAGGGGGTGTGAGGGGTGAGGGCGGGGTGGTAGGTATGGGTGAGGGCGGGGTGGTAGGTATGGGTGAGGGGAGGGGAGGGAGGTGGTTGAGGGGTAGGGAGGTGGTTGAAGGGGAGCGAGCGGAGGGTTGGGGCAGGAGAGGGGAGGGCGAGCAGAATAACCGACCCGGAAAGGGAGTAGAGGGATCGGAAGAAAGTAGGGGGATCGAAAGAAAGAAACGATTTCTTATTCCAGGACTATACCCCTACGATACCGTACCCCTACGATACCGTACTCCTACGATACAGTAAGTACTCCTACGATACAGCGTGTAGTACTCGGCCGGACGTACCTAGTCTTCGTCTCAAGTCGTACCTAGTCTCCGTCTCATTCGCCCCTCGCGGCGCGTCTCACTCGCGGCGAGTACGGTCCACCCTAGCCTATCGCTGTCGCCTAGCCCATCGCAGTCATGTACGGTCCGCCCTCAGTCAAGTGCGGTCCACCCTCGCGGATGCGGAAGACCCTCGGCAAGCGTGGGCGCACGATGGCAGCTGTGACACGTTGGTGTGCTCGCCAGTCGTGTGACGCGTGGGTGCTCGCCAGTCGTGAGAGACGTGGGTGCTCGCCAGTCGTGTGACGCGTGGGTACTCGCCAGTCGGGGAGAGACGTGGGGCGTCCGCCAGTTGTGTGAGCGAGGGCGAGGGCGCATCGCGCGCCGAGTTGCGGAAGAGCGAGAGGAGTGCTAGGCGATAAGAGAGGGGATGCGGAGTTGAGCGAGAGAGTGAGAGGAGTGCTAGGCGATAAGAGAGGGGACGCATCGCGCGCCGAGGCTCCGACTCAGGGTGCGTCGCTTGCCGAGGTGCTGGGGTGAGGGGAGTGCGAGGACGAGGATGCGTCGCTGGCGAGCGGGCGAGGGACTGGACGGAGGACGTGGTGCGAGGGGACGCATCGCTGGCGAGCTGCGTGCGCGAGGGGACGCATCGCCGGGGGTGGCGCTAGCGAGGGCGCATCGCTGGGGTTGCGCTGGCGAGGGCGCATCGCTGGCGAGATGCGAGAGAGCGAGGGAAGGTGCGGAGTTGAGCGAGCTGCGAAAGAGCGAGGGGCGTCGCTGAGGAGCTGCGTGAGCGAGGGCGCGTCGTTGAACGAAGGAGTGGAAGAGCGAGGGGACGCTGAGTTGCGGAAGAGCGCGGGGAGTGCTAGGCGATAAGAGAGGGGAGAGCGCGAGGCCACGGGAACGAAGGAGCGCGAGGCCATGGGGTGAGGGACGTGCGATGTGGAAGGAAAGATGAGGGAGGGCCGTCCGGGTGGGGTGCGAGTGGGTGGGGGGAGGAGGTCGGATGATGGAGGTAGGGGTGAGGATAAGGGACGACCGACCGAGGAGGGAAGGGGAGGTGAGGGCGCCCCCACCCAGTTCCCCCTTCCCTCGAAAGGGGATCCATCCACGCACCCCCTCCCCTCGACATGGCGCCCCCCTCCCCTCGATATGGCGCCCCCCTCCCCTCGACATGGCGCCCCCCTCCTCTCGATATGGCGCGCCCCCCCCCCCCCCCCCCCCCCTCGATGAGCGCCCATTCCCCGCACCGAACGAGCGCTCATTCCCCTCACGAACGAGCGGCCCAACAAGCGATCCATGCGGGGGGAGTTGTGGGAGGGGGTGTAGGAGGGGGATGGAAGGGCGAGGGGGTGGTAGGAGAGGAGGGCGAGGAAGGAGTGTGGGCGAGGGGAAGGGAAGGGGTGGTGCATGCGGGGGAAAGGAGGTGAGGGGAGGTGAGGGCGACCGGGGGCGTCGCTGGCGAGCTGCGCAAGAGCTCCCTCCTAGCGCGTCGCTCGCCGAGGCTATGGGGTGAGGGACGTGCGAGTGGGTGAAGGCGACGAGAGGGGAGGGAGGGAGGAAGGGGAGGGAGGGACGCGCGACCGGGGTGGGAGAGGGGAGAGGGTTAAAGGGTGAGGGCTGGTGCGAGGGTGCTGAGGGCAAGGAAGGTAAGCTAAGGGAGAGGAGCGAGGAGAGGGGAGAGAGAGGAGAGAACACGTCGTCGAGCGAAGGGAGGGAGGGAGGGGTGAGAGAGAAAGCAGAACACCCAACCCGGTATGAAAGTACAAGGATCCAAAGACAGTAGAGGGATCAAAAGAAAGAAACGAATCCTTATTCTAGGACCTAACCCCTATGATACAGTGTGTATACGTAGTTACTCAGGGTACAGCGACGCAATGGAGGCCGGGCTGCTATTCGTCCAAGGTCGAAGACTGGGACGCGGTCCAAGGTCGAAGACTGGGAGGCGGCCGAGGCCGAGGGCTGCAGTGGGGTAGACGCTGCATACAGGGTCAGCATTATCGTGGTGGGGGTCTGTTAGATTTGCTGATCTGATGGTCGAAGCAGCAGATCCGATAGGCAGGGAACCTCGACAAGCGTACGAGGTTCCTGTATATTCAGCGGGGTTTATATACGTAAACTAAGAGCGATAAGTCCGAAAAGCACAAAATGACTCGTCGCATCGGGCGAGCGGCCGAACTGCAACCTCAACACACCCCCACAGTCCGAGCGCGAGCACGGAATGTAAGTACAATGTAAGTAAACAATGGTTGCGGAATAATTGCCTTTTTGGGCTCTCTGAACGACGCGTCGTCGAGATCGCTCAAAAAGGAAGGAGGGGACACGTCACCCCCAGAAGCGATAATCAGTAAGCGTAGTCATCGTCGTCAACGTCCTCTGCTGCAAGGTTCGCCTCCTGCTGCACCTTCATCGCCTTTGCGACCTCCCAAGCCATGCGCTCCGGGCAATCCGACTTGTAGTGACCCTTCTTGTTGCAGAAGTGGCACGTGACGCGTTCGGCATCAACCGAGCGGGCAACAAGGACGGGCGAAGCCGCGTCCTCGGCCACGGCACGGGATGGCCGAGACAGCTGGCGCGTCTCCTCGTTGAGCAGGCGCCCGATCACATAGTCGAGGGTGAGCTGATCGGCGGGGGTATCGTCAAGGGAGATGATGAGGGAGTCGTAGGATGAGGGGAGGCCCATGGTAATCGCCAAGATGATGTCGAGATCAGTGAGATCGACCCCGGCTGCCTCCATCTCGAATGCCTGCGCCTTCACGTCACCAATCCAGGCGGCCATCTTCTTCGTCGTCGTCTTCTTCATCGTATAGAACTTCCGGCGTAGAGACAGGACAGTGGCAAATCCACGCGCGCGGTGAACGGCCTGCAAGTCTTGCCAGACCGCAAGCGGATCCCGATCGCGCATGTGGACCAGCTGGCTGGGCTCGACATTGAGAATGAGCAACGCACGAGCCTCTGCCATCTTGGTTGCCGATCGCGCCTCCATCTTCTGATCGATCTCCGCATCGATCTCCTCCTGCGGGCGCTTAACGCCATCGGACGTTACATCGGTGAGGATCTCCACCATGTCGGTCCAGAGACCAGCACGGATGAGGACCGCCTCCATCTGCATTGCCCAAGTCGCATAGTTGGTCTCGTTGAGCTTCGGGAAGCGCGCTGTCGATTCGGGGGTAGAGTCGATCATGATGATAAGGAAGGGGTATGGGTTCTCGTCTCGTCGCGTCGTAGAACAGAAGCAGATCTGAGCGGTAGCGGATCGGAAGGTTATGCCAGTACGCTTGTGTTAGATTTGCTGATCTGATGGTCGAAGCAGCAGATCCGATAGGCAGGGAACCTCGACAAGCGTACGAGGTTCCTGTATATTCAGCGGGGTTTATATACGTAAACTAAGAGCGATAAGTCCGAAAAGCACAAAATGACTCGTCGCATCGGGCGAGCGGCCGAACTGCAACCTCAACAGGGTCAAACGTCGCCGGCGAGAAGGGCAGAGGGAGGGGGGGTGCAGAGAGACTGACTGATAGTGATAGCATTGCTATCCCCATCGACAACAGGCCTATATTACCATCATAGCAAGTGGCAAGATGGCAATCGCGCTCCCAAAGGAGAAAGGAAGGAACGACAAGCATGGCCAAACAATCGCACTTTATTCTTCGCCATCATCACCTTGTGCTTCGCCTTCATCACCTTATTCTTCGCCGTCATCACCTTGTTCTTCGCCGTCATCCGCTCTTTCCCTTCACAAGCCCCATGGGCGGACGATCCCTTCGTAAGCCCCATGGGCGGACGATCCCCCTTGTCGATTGTATGCCTTGACCTCGACCAAGGATCGTGACGACGCATCTGAATCATGTACCGAGAACAAGCATCGCGTACCGTGAAGAAGCACCATGTACCGTGACGAAGCATCATGTACCGTGAAGAAGCATCGTGTACCGTGACCTCGATCATGGATCGTGACGAAGCATCATGAAAACCCCCTCCTTGGCTACGTGCCCCTCCTCGACATCGATCAGCTCCATTCCGATTTGAAGCGCGGTGATATTTAGGGGATGACCACTTCCTGTGATATTTAGGGAATGCCCACTTCCTGCGGGCGAGAGACGCGCTAGTGACCGCGGATGGCATGTACTATGGTGAGCACTATTGCTAATTGCTAAACACTCGCCGCAGCTCAGTTCTTCTCCTCGCCTCGCATTTGTTTCCCCTTGCACGCGCGAGCGAGGGCGCAGTGCACGGCCCGCCCTTCCGACTCTCTTCGCCTCGCTCGCAGGAAAGAGGGTGCGAGGACGAGGTGGGTGCGAGAGGGTAGGCGAGGACGAGAATGCGAGGGAGGAAGGGCGAGGTAAGCTCCTGAGGGCGAGGAGATGGGGAAGGGTGGGACGTGGGGGGAGCGTGGTAACAATTAACCCTAAGTGCGCCGCCGGGCTCCCTTGGTCCCTCCAACCTAGCGCGCCGAGATCCCTTCGACAAACGGTGCATCGCTCGCCGCGCCCCTTCAACCGGGGTGCGTCGACGGGCTCCTTCGACCGAGGGCACATCGCTCCCCTCCCCTCCCTCGACAGAGCTCTCCTCACCTTCCCTCCTCAGTCCCTCGCTCGCCGGGCTCCCTCGACCGAGGGCGTCGCTGGGCTGGGATCTCTTTGACCGAGAGTGCGTCGCTCGCCATCGCTCCTAGCGCGGGACTGCCTTCGACCGAGGGCGCATCGCTCGCCGGGCTCCTTCGACCGAGGGCGCATTGCTGGCCGGGCTCCTTCGACCTTGCACTTTCGTCTCTCACCGCCTCTCAACCGAGCGAGTGCGCGTCGCTGGCTTGCCGTGCCCCTTCGTCGCTCGCCGGGCTCCCTCGACCGAGTGCGTCGCCCCGCTCGCGCCTCCGTCTCTCGTCGCCCCGCCCGCACCTCCGTCTCTCGTCGCCCCGCCCGCACCTCCGTCTCTCGTCGCCCCGCTCGCACCTCCTCCACCCACTCGCTGAGCGACCCGGGGCGCGTCGCCTCGCTCGGGCGAGCGGTCGTCGCTCGCCGAGCTCCCTCGACCGAGAGCGTATCTCTGAGCTCCCCGAGGAAGCGCGAGGGTGTAGCTCCACGAGGAAGCGCGAGGGTGTAGCTCTCCGAGGTAGAGCGAGGCCGTAGCTCGCGTCGACCAGGGGGCAGGGGGCATCGTCGGACCCCCTCGACCGGGCGAGCGAGAACGAATGGTTCGCCTTGCCGAGCTGTGGAAGAGCAAGCGAGGAAGAGTCGCGCGAGCGAGGGTTGAAGGGGGAGGACGTGGAGGGACGGTGGGGGTGGGTGCCATGGAAGGAGTGAAGTGGGCGCCGATGGAAGGGCAGGGCGTGCCGATGCAAGGGAAGGAGGGGGCGCCGGTAGAAGGGGAGGAGGGGGTGCCGAAGGAAGGGAAAGAGAGGGCGCACCGTCAATCTTCCGCAGCGAGTTATTGGTCGCGCGCGCAGCCAGATCTCGGTCGCGTTCGCAGCGAGTCCTCGATCGCGCTCGCAGCCAGTGCTCGGCCGCGTTCGTAGCGCCCTAAGCGCGGCATCGTCTGCGCCGCCGGCGGTGAGCTCAGGGGATGAGGCGATGATCTCAGGGGATGGGTGAACGGACGGATGGGTGAACGGACGGATGAGTAGACAGTCGGTGAAGGAGGGTTAGTGTACATGTTGTGTGTAGCGCGTACGGTATCCATGTTGTGTATAGCGCAACGTAGAAAAGCATGATGTTAGGGATGTATACGTATGGAACAATTAGTACTAATCACGTATGGAATGCTCAGGACTAATCATGAGCTATCGCAGAGCCCACCCGGCTGATAATGACCTGCGAAGTGTTCAAAGGGTGTTCAGCGTTCCGGCTTACAGCCACTCCCCCGCTAGCCACTCGCCCGCTAGAGCCACTCACACGCTAGAGCCACTGACCAGCGATGGAGCTCTTTGTGGCCCGTCTGGTAAGGACGTCCAACAAGTTCGCATCGTGCCCCAATTTGACGCGCCACACGTCCATACAGCCAAGGTACCTGGCCATGAAGGGCCCCGTCGCCAGGCGCCCCTCCATGGGCATACCGAGCAGGCTGTGCAGCGCCCGCGCACTAAACCGTCCGCGCCCATCCTCAACGTGGACGCGCACGTCCTCGAAGACGACCTCGTTGTGACGGAGCAGATCTCGCAGCTCGTCAAGAACAGCGGGCGCCTTGCGCAGCGCGATCTCGCGACTGCACCAGTCGGGGCCAAAAGCGCAGATCGCGAGACGTCGGAGCGCGTGCGGGTACGAAAGGGACCGAGTGATGCGCTGCTCGAGGTCCGACAGCGCTTCGGCGGCCTGGCTGAACCGCATACACAGCCAAATGTCGACCCGTGGTTTGCCCGCGAGTTTTTGAAACTGTGTGCAAACCGTGATGAAGACCGTGGTCTACCCGCAATTTACCTTCGTGCAATTCACGAATAAGTCATCAGTCCTGCTCACGGGCAAATTGTGAGTTGCCCACGGGCTGCTCACGGTTTACGGAAACGACGTGGGCTTGGCGTGAGAACAGGCGCCGCGAGGGACAGGCTGAATGATCGAGAGATTTGGTGAGTTCAAGTTGTCGTCGCTTGCTCTTGCCTTCCTCCGCCACGACTACCCCATCGCCGATTCGGTTGCCTGCTTGCGGCCGGCCATCCTCTTCCCTTGGCTGCCTGTAAGCCTGGGTTCCCATTTACATCTGATTGCTCAGGATGTCTGCGAAAGTAGTTGTCGGACACGGCTCGAGTTAGCAGCCTGCAAATTTTCAAGCTGGTAGTCGGTGCGCGCTTGCAATGTTTTCGATTGCATGTCGAACTTTCCGGCACTTACATAGAGCATATCCTTGACTTGAGCATAGTCAGTAAATACCTGTGTAGCTAGCATCAATGATATGCAGATTTTTCGCTCAGTATCGCACGCAAAGGCCGAGCGAAGGGTGGCAAGCGGCGTCGTCGTAGCGCTCGTGTGACTCATCATATTTCCTTACGAGGCAGCGAGTTTGCGGTCCGACGAAGGAATTGATGAGCCATCTGATGACTTATTCGTGGGTAAACCAAGGTCTACTCGTGGTCAAACCACGGTCCGCCTTTGGTTTACTCACGGGCGAAGCT